GGACACAGATATTCTTTAGAATTCTTACAAATTCTAAAAAAATGACAAGGATCCGGAGATCCTTTTGAATTCTTACAAATTCTTTAAAAAAATGACACTATGGACTTCCGAAAATCTATAGGATTCCTAGAAATTCTTAAAAAATGACACTAGGGGCAAAGAGATTTTTCTAAATTCCTACACATTCTTAAAAAATGACAGTAGGGACCCAGAGTTCCTTTTGAATTCTTATAAATTCTTTAAAAAATGACATTAGGGACCCAGAAATACTCTTGAATTCCTACAAATTAAAAAAAAACACAAATGGTCTCCGAAATCCTACAGAATCATTGAAAAAATGACACTAGGAGCCTCCGAGATTAATGAAAATCATTGAAAAAATGACACTAGAGGTCCAGAGATCCTTTTAAATTTTTAAAAATTCTTTAAAAAAAGACCCGAGGTCCTAGAGAATCATTGAAAAAAATGACACTAGGAATCCAAAGATTTTATTTATTTCTTACAAATTCTTCAAAAATGACACTAGGAGCCTCCGAGATCAACAAAAATCATTGAAAAATGACGCTAAGACACAGATATTCTTTAGAATTCTTACAAATTCTAAAAAAATGACACAAGGGATCCAGAGATCCTTTTGAATTCTTACAAATTCTTTAAAAAAATGACACTAGGGACTTCCGAAAATCTTTAGGATTCCTACAAATTCATAAAAAATGACAGTAGGGACCCAGAGATCCTTTTGAATTCTTATAAATTCTTTTAAAAATGACATTAGTGACCTGGAAATTCTCTTGGAATTTCTACAAATTCAAAAAAAACACAAAGGGTCTCCGAAATCCTAGAGAATCATTGAAAAAATGACACTAGAGCCTCCGAGATTAATGAAAATCATTGAAAAAATGACACTAGGAACCCAGAGATTCTTTTGAATTCTTACAAATTCTTAAAAAATGACACTTGGAACCCAGAAATTCTTTAGAATTTCTACAATTTCTTAAAAAATTACACTAGGGGCTCAGAGATTGTTTTGAGTTCTTACAAATTCTTTATTAGACACTAAGGTTTCCCAAGACCCTAGAGAATCATTCAAAAAATGACACCAGGGACCTAGAAATTCTTTTAAATCCTTATAAATTCTTTAAAAAAAGACACCAAGGATTCAGGATCCTTCAGAATTATTAAAAAAATGAGACTAAGGACCCCGACATTCTTTTGAATTCTTATAAATTCTTTAAAAAAGACAGAGGTCTCCGAAATTCTCTTGAATTCTTAAAATTTCCTTGCAAAAATGTACCATTTTAACCATATGCCTAGTTTCTTGTTGTAAAAAGATAGCCATGTATATTAAGGAAAAAAAAAAGGCACAATATCAGCCCCGCCCACCCACCCTATCTCAATTCTGATGATTTTTTTCCTCCATCTTAAGCCGAGGGGTGGAGCTTAACTGAAGAATCTTTGTTTTCTTACAAGAATTTACCGTTTTGAACGTGTTTCAAATTTCTACGATTTAAAGAAATCATTGCAAGTGAGATGGGGTGGGTGGGCGGGGTTTATATTTTACCTTTTTTTTCTTAATGTACATAGTCTTTGAGCAACACGATACTCAAAAACATATTTTTAATTTCTTGTAAAGTATTCAACTATTTTGCAGTTAAGCTTCGCCCCGCCCCCTTGGTTCACGGCGAAAAAAAAAAATCATTACACACAAGAATGTACAAGAAGATATTGAAAGAGGAAGAAAAAAAAAACTATTGTGGTGTAATCAGTATATCTGGCAACCCTGCTGACGTTTTGCATGGTCATTTCTTGTAAAGAAATAGAGGTTTTGCAATTAAGCTCCGCCCCTTTGGCTTACGACGAATAAAAAAAATTCATCAGGATTGAGATATGGGTGGGTGGGTGGGGCTTATATTTTACCTTGTTTTTTTTTTAATGTTGTGTCATCTTCTCGCAACAAGAAATATAGATTTTACAATATTAACCTCCGCCCCTCGATCTGACAACAAATGGAAAATTCATCATAATTGTGATGGGCGGGGCTTAATTTTTGGTTTGTCTTTACACATCTTCATGTTTTTTATTTTTTTGTAGAGAAATAAGGTTTTGCAATTAAGCTCCGCCCCTTTGGCTCACGACGAATCAAAAAATCATCACAACTGAGATAGGGCGAGTGGGCGGGGCTTATATTTTGCCTTTTTTTCTAAAATATATAGCCATTTTTTCATAACATGAAACTTAAACTAGTTTAAAATGGAAAATATGTGTAGGTAAATATCAGTTTTATTTCCTTGCAAAAATGTACCATTTTAACTATGTCCTAAGTTTCTTGTCGTGAAAAGATGGCTATGTATATTTAAAAAAAATGGAAAATATAAGCCCCGCCCACCCGCCCTATCTCTATTCTGATGATTTTTTTTATTCGTTTTGAGCCAAATGGGCGGAGCTTAATTGCAAAATCCTTATTTCTCTACAAGAAATAAAAAACATGTTTTGAATATCGTGTTGTTCAAAGAATACTATGTGTATTAAGAAATAAAACAAGCCAAAAATTAAGCCCCACCCATATCCATCCCATGTTCAATTGTGTGTTGAATTTTGCATTCGTTGTCAGACCGAGAGGCGAAGCCTAATTGCAAAATCCAAATTTTCTGACAAAAATTTACCATTTTAAACGGGTTTCAAGTTTCTAAGAATAAAAAAAATCATCACAATTGGAATGGAATGGGTGGGCGGTATTTTATGTTTTTCCTTTTTTTTAATATGCATAGTATTCCTTGAATAAGACGATACTCAAATACTTGTTTTTATTTTAAAGAAATAAACATTTTGCAGTTAAGCTCTGCCCCCTTCGTTCACGACGAATAAAAAAAATCATCACAATAGAGATAGGGCGGGTGGGCGGGTTTACATTTTGTATGATGAATTTTCTATTTGTTGTCAGATCGAGGGGTGGAGCTTAATTTTGTAAAATCTATATTTCTTGTTGCGAGAACATGACAAAGCATATAAAAAAAACAAGGTAAAATATAAGCCCCACCCACCCACCTATATCTCAATCGTGATGAATTTTTTTATTCGTCGTAAGCCAAAGGGGCGGAGCTTAATTGCAAAACCTCTATTTCTTTACAAGAAATGACCATGTGAGACGTCACCATGGTTGCCAGATATACCGATTACACCACAATAGTTTTTTTCTTCCCCTTTCAATATCTTCATGTTCTTTTCAGAAGATCGGAATTCCCTATTTTTTCTCAAAATAGTCTATTTTCAACAATTTGATATCTCAAAAATATGGAGTTCGTAATTGAGCTCTGCCCCTCCGTCTCACGACCAATAAAAAAATTGATCACAAGAGAAGGCGGGTGGGTGGGGCCTCTTTTTCTTAACATATACAGTTTTCTAGCAAATCGATGCTTAAATCATGTTTCACAAATTCTTGTATAATTTCTTGTGATATGAACATTGTAAATAGGCTCCGCCCCCCGTTTCACGACGAATAAAAAAATAATCGCATTTGAGATGGGGCGGGCGGGCGGGGCTTGTGTTTGGCCTTTTTTTTTTTTCTTTTTAATGTACCTAGTTTTTTTCACAACAAAATACTTCAAACATATTTAAAATGGTAAACTTTTGTACACAAATGTGGAATCTGCAATTAAGCTCCGCCCCTCGATCTGACAACAAATGAAAAATTCACCACAATTGAGATCGGGGCGGGCGGGTGGGGCTTTGGCTTCTTGTGCATATATATAGTTTTCTTTCAATATATCCGTATCCATCCCAACCTCAAGTGTGATCAATTTTTCATTCGTTGTCAGACCGAGGGGCGGAGCCTAATTGCAAAATCGATACTTTCCTACAGAATTTTACCATTTTAAACATGCTCCTTTACCTTTTCCAAATTCAAAATTTCCGTACGACGATTTCATTTATAACTTTCCAAATCCTCTAAGATTATTTGGTTGTTGTAAAATTACTGTACGTAAGAATAATCTGTTCTTACCCTACTCTCGCCAGCACAAAGCCTGCCCTCGCGCTTTCGTAAATCGACCCAATCACTCAACGGCGGCGCCACAAGACACCGATGCGTGGGTCGACGCAGTCCAGACGACATTCTCATAACCTCCAATTAGTTTCGCTTACACGTAGCGAAACCGTTCGCCCTTGTCAGCACGGCAAAAAAATCATCGCGCAAAACGTAATAATAATAATGGGAACGCTTGTGCAACGTCGGCGTCTGCGGTCGTACGTTGCGATTGAAATTTTTCGGATTTTGGGACGGCCTTTGCAAAAAACGAGACAAAAAACCGACCGTGACATAATCCATGGCGACCACTTTTGTGGATTTCGATTAATGAGGTCGGCGTTTCGCTGACCGCGCCGACGATCGAGATAGGTCAAGATGCATCCCGTGCGGACACGGGATGAGGTCATGGTGGAAATAGTCGAGTCTGACTTGCAAAGCCGCAGATGTGTAAGCAAGCCTTTAGGCGGTGATGTGTGTGACGTCATGTCGTGATAAAATTTGGCCCGCCCACCCACCCCACCGTGAGTCGGATGACGGCCCCCGGCCGTTGTTCGTACGGTCGTGTGTTGAGGTAGTTCGAAAAGCGCCAGTCGGTGTTTTAAATAGAACGGAAATATCTTATGATTGAGTCACAATGTCGCTTTTTCTTGTCTTGTGTTATAAAGTAGCGTTGAATGGATAATCTATTTTTATTGTTGCGGATTGTGATAAATATTTCACTTTTGTGGGATTAAGTCGTAATGGAAGGCGAATGCGGTAATGGCAGGTGATAAATTAGCTGCAATTACGTAAACAGTTTAAATTGTTGAACATTTGTGTCTATTGTGGAACGATTAATTCGATAAATCACTCTCTTGGCTCGTAATTGTCGCAATTTGTCGTGCGGAGCGGTTGGGTTTTGCTTTAGATTAAGAGATATATTTTTTAAAGCTGGTCTAGAACCCCCATTATATCTTACGTGGTTTTTGTGTTGTAGTTGATGCCGCCTGAGGAGACCATGCCACAGACCTTCGGGAGCGTCGGGGTGAGCTGATCTAGGCCGTCATGGCCGCAGACATGAGGTCTCCCAACGTATCCGTCACCCCCATCAACATGGAGCCCCCGTACCCGTCGACGCCGCTGACCAACTGCGACCTCCCGACGGGGGAGCCGCAGCGCACCAGGAGCGCGCCGCACCCCGGCCTCCTCAACGGCGACGTCCTCGACAGCTCCGACGCCGAGGTGGCGCAGATCGACTTCCAGTGCGCCGTCAACATGAGACACAAGAAGAAGAGGGACGGCGCCGACGTCCCCAGGCCGATGTCGTGGGAGGGCGAGCTCAGCGACCACGAGAGGGACATGTGCGTGGACGACGACGGCGGCTCGCAGGTGCGTTCGCTCACACTCGCCCCCAGGTCCTTAAATTTCCGTTGCAGGTCCCGGAGAACCTCTCCCTCTCCCAGCCGAAGCTCAACACCATCGTGAGCCTCGACTCGAAGGAGAGCCCCCTGATGCGGCTGAAGCAACCCCCGATGGGCAACTACTCGATCCACAGCACGCCCAGCAACTCGCCCCTGCTCGGCCAGAGGCACCCGGTGACCGGCGTCCCGATGATGGGGCACAAAGACATGATGCACAAGGCCTTGAACGTGCCGCCGACGCCGAGCCCGGACTCGGCCATCCACTCCGCATACAGTGTGTTCAGTTCGCCGAACCAGAGCCCCCTGACGCAAAGACATATCACGCTAACGCCGAACCTGAGCCGGAACAATAGTGATGCGTCCCATTCGAGCTGTTGTAGTTATTCGAGTGTTTCGGTTTCGGTCTCGCCGACGCAGCAGTTCTCGCCCACGCACAGTCCTATTCAGGTCAGTGGTCGATTTTCACCATTTTTACCCCGGACGCAAGATGCGCTATGTCATGAACGCGATATACGCCGGACGCGGGATGCGCCGCATCGTGAACGCGAACTGTATATACATTTTTTTAAAAATTTGTAAGTCGGTCAAAGTTTGGAATGCCGCTTGCTTTCTTCGATTAATTTATTGTTCTGCCCACGCGGCGAAGGATAATGTAATATCGAGGTGCGATTTTACATTGCAGAAACGTTGACATTATGAATACGATATTCACTTGAGAGTGGCTAATTAGTGCCTACGTTGAAATGGCGTTGAATTATTTATTATAAGTTGCGTGTGTTTGTAATCAAGTCGGCCTGGGTGGTGGGTTAAAAATTGTGATTGTTTGAGAGACGTGGAGAAAATTTCCAGGGACGTGACTTGCGGTTATTAACACTATTATAAATAAAAGGTCGACGTATTGAAAAAGTGGCTCGAATTTTGATCGACAGACAATGGGTCGGTTTTTTTGTAATGGAGATAAATATGCGATAAAAGGGAAATTCGATGATAAGTTGAGTGAAATTTTCGACGTTTTAAAAAATTCGTGACGTTGGAGATTGACTCGAAATTTTGTTGTTTAATTTTCTTGGTTTTTGAATGCCGACTGTTTGGTGAATTCAGTTTTTTATTTTTCGAATTTTGGAGAAGTATTTTTCGAAAATTGGAAGAATATCAGAAGCCACGGACATTTTTGGCAGTGTTTTCATAAATTTTGAATTATTGGTGAAAGAATTTTTATTATTTTCGATTTTTGGAAAATTAAAACAATTTTATTTAATGTTTCTGCAATTGTTCTTGAAAAATTTTGTACTTTTCGTGACAGCCGAGTTTGGCTTGAACCATAAACAAAAAAGAAATTTAAAACAATTTAATCAACTTTTATTCATTTATTAAAAAAAACTTAGCAATTGTGACAAATTTTCAAAAATTTAAAAGTGATAAAAAAATTTACAGATTAATTAAATTTTGTATTTTGTTATTATTGAGTGTTTGGTGAATTCAATTTTTTTATTTTTCAATTTTTGAAAATTTTGCTTTCTGGAAAAGTATTTCTCAAATCTGTTATCAAAATTAACGTTGTAATATTTTTTGAACACTTTTTACAATTTTCGAAAATTTGAAGGATAACAGGAGCTCTTTTAAATAAATTTTGTATTATTAGTGAATGAAATTTTGATATTATCGATTTTTAACAAATTAAAATATTTTTATTTTGTTTCTGCTGTTGTTTTTGGGAAATTTTGTACTTTTCGTAACACCGAGTTCGGCTTGAACAAAAAACAAAACAAGAATTTAAAACAATTTAATTGACCTGTTTTTCAGTTCATTTCAAAAAATTAAAAATTTTGACGAATTTTCAAAAATTGAAGAATGGTAAAAAATTTTGCTGATTACTATTTAAATTTTGTATTTTTTAATTAGTGAGTGATTGGTGAATTCAAAATATTTTTCAAACATGTCAAAATTAACGTTGTAATTTGGCAGATCTACAGTTTTTGAAAACTTGAATGATAGATAACAGGAGCTCCTAAGGACATCTTTGGTACTTTTTAAATAAATTTTGAATTATCAGTAAACGAAATTTTGATTATTTACGATTTTCTAAAAATTAAAATAATTATGTTTCGGTTGTCTTATTGTTTTAGGGAAATTTTATTTTCGGAACGACCGAGTTTGACTTGAACAAAAAACCAAAAAGGGATTTTAAAACAATTTCATTGACCTGTTTTTCAGTTGTTTAAAAAAGTGGAAAATCTTGACGAATTTTCAAAAATGTTCGTTTATAATTTAAATTTCGTATTGTTAAATTATTGAGTATTCGGTGAATTCAATTTTTTTTATTTTTCAATTTTTGAAAATTTTGGTTTCTGAAAAAGTACTTCTCATAAATTTTATCAAAATTAGCGTTGTAATATTTTTGGAACACTTAACAGTTTTCGAAAATTTGAAGGATAACAGGAGCACTTAAGACATCTTTGGTATTTTTTAAATACATTTTGAATCAGTAGTAAATGAAATTTTGTTTATTTTTGATTTTCGAAAAAAAACCAAAAATGGATTTTAGACAATTTATTGATCTATTTTTCAATTTATTTAAAAAAGTGGCAAAGTTTTGACGAATTTTCAAGAATTGAAGAACGATGAAAGATTTCCCTTATTATATTATGCATTTGATAAGATAAGACTGATTTTGGTAAATGACATACCCTCTAAGAAAATAGAGGGTGGGTGGGCGGGGCTAGTATTTGATGAGATAAGACTATTTTGGCAAATGACATAGTCTTTAAGAAAATAGAGGGTGGGTGGGCGGGGCTAGTACTTGCTAAGACAAAACTGATTTTGACAAATGACACACGCTCTAAGAAAATAGAGGGTAAGTCTTATCTTACTAACATAAGATTGACGATAAGTCAACAAACAAAAACAGAAAGAGGACAGGAAAACGAAAACTTTTACGAGTGAGAGTGACGCATCGAAAAATAATATTTTCGATTTTATAAAAATTAAATTAATTCTATTTTATTTTTCGTACTGTTTTTGGGAAATTTTGTTCTTTTCGTAACGACCGAGTTTGGCTTGAACAAAAAACAAAAAAAAAATTTTAAACAATTTAATTGACCTGTTTTTCAGTTCATTTAAAAAAATGGAAAATTTTGACGAATTTTCAAAAATTGAAGAATTGTAATAAATGTTGCTGATTATTTAAATTTTGTATTTTTTAATTAGTGAGTGATTGGCGAATTCAAATTTTTATTTTTCAATTTTTGAAAATTTATCTAGGTTTCTGGAAAATATTTTTCAAAAATGTTGTCAAAATTAACGTTGTAATTTGGCAGATTTACAGTTTTTGAAAACTTGAATGATAGATAACAGGAGCTCCTAAGGACATCTTTGGTACTTTTTAAATAAATTTTGAATTATCAGTGAACGAAATTTCGATTTTCTAAAAATTAAAATAATTTTATTTCGGTTGTCTTATTGTTTTGGGAAAATTTTATACTTTTCGTAACGACCGTGTTTGACTTGAACAAAAAAGCAAAAAGGGAATTTAATACAATTTCATTGACCTGTTTTTCAGTTAAAAAAAATGGAAAATTTTGACCAATTTTCAAAAATGTTCGTTCATAATTTAAATTTCGTATTGTTAAATTATTGAGTATTCGGTGAATTCAATTTTTTTATTTTTCAATTTTTGAAAATTTTGGTTTTGAAAAAGTACTTCTCATAAATTTTATCAAAATTAACGTTGCAATATTTTTGGAACACTTCACAGTTTTCGAAAATTTGAAGGATAACAGGAGCACTTAAGACATCTTTGGAATTTTTTAAATAAATTTTGAATGAGTAGTGAATGAAATTTTGTTTATTTTTGATTTTCGAAAAACAAAAAACAAAAATGGATTTTAGACAATTTATTGATCTATTTTTCAGTTTATTTAAAAAAGCGGCAAAGTTTTGACGAATTTTCAAAAATTGAAGAGCGATGAAAGTTTTGCCTTATTATATTATGCATTTGATAAGATAAGACTGATTTTGGTAAATGACATACCCTCTAAGAAAATAGAGGGTGTGTGGGCGGGGCTAGTATTTGATGAGATAAGACTATTTTGGCAAATGACATAGTCTTGAAGAAAATAGAGGGTGGGTGGGCGGGGCTAGTACTTGCTAAGACAGAACTGATCTTGACAAATGACATACGCCTAAGAAAATAGAGGGTAAGTCTTATCTTACTAACATAAGATTGACGATAAGTCAACAAACAAAAACGGAAAGGGGAGAGGAAAACGAAAGCTTTTACGAGTAAAATTTTCGATTTTATAAAAATTAAATTAATTCTATTTTATTTCTCCTATTGTTTTTGGGAAATTTTGTTCTTTTCGTAACGACCTAGTTTGGCTTGAACAAAAAACAAAAAAAGAATTTAATTGACCTGTTTTTCAGTTCATTTAAAAAAATGGAAAATTTTGACGAATTTTCAAAAATTGAAGAATGGTAAAAAATATTACTGATTATTTAAATTTTGTATTTTTTAATTAGTGGGTGATTGGTGAATTCAATTTTTTATTTTTCAATTTTTGAAAATTTATCTAGGTTTCTGGAAAAATTTTTCAAAAATGTCAAAATTAACGTTGTAATTTGGCAATCTACAGTTTTTGAAAACTTGAATGATAGATAACAGGAGCTCCTAAGGACATCTTTGGTACTTTTTAAATAAATTTTGAGTTATCAGTGAACGAAATTTTGATTATTTTCGATTTTCTAAAAATTAAAATAATTTTATTTTGGTTGTCTTATTGTTTTGGGTAAATTTTGTACTTTTCGTAACAACCGAGTTTGGTTTGAACCATAAACAAAAAAGAAATTTAAAACAATTTAATACAACTTTTATTCAGTTTATTAAAAAAAAACTTAGAAATCGTGACAAATTTTCAAAAATTTAAAAGAGATAAAAAATTTTACAGATTAATTAAATTTTGTATTTTTTAATTATTGAGTGTTTGGTGAATTCAATTTTTTTATTTTTCAATTTTTGAAAATTTTGGTTTCTGAAAAAGTATTTCTCAAATCAAAATTATCGTTGTAATATTTCTGGAACACTTTACAGTTTTCGAAAATTTGAAGGATAACAGGAGCTCTTAAGGACATCTATGATATTTTTTAAATAAATTTTGTATCATTAGTGAATGAAATTTTGATATTATCGATTTTTAAAAAAATAAAATATTTGATTTTGTTTTTGCGGTTGTTTTTGGGAAATTTTGTACTTTTCGTAACACCGAGTTCGGCTTGAACAAGAAACAAAAGGAGAATTTAAAACAATTTAATTGAACTGTTTTTCACTTCATTTAAAAAAATGGAAAATTTTGACGAATTTTCAAAAATTGAAGAATGGTAAATTTTGCTGATTATTATTTAAATTTTGTATTTTTTAGTGAGTGAATTCAAATTTTTATTTTTCAATTTTTGAAAATTTATCTAGGTTTCTGGAAAATATTTTTCAAAAATGTTGTCAAAATTAACGTTGTAATTTGGCAGATTTACAGTTTTTGAAAACTTGAATGATGGATCACAGGAGCTCCTAGACATCTTTGGTACTTTTTAAATAAATTTTGAATTATCAGTGAACGAAATTTTGATTATTTTCGATTTTCTAAAAATTAAAATAATTTTATTTCGGTTGTCTTATTGTTTTGGGGAAATTTTATACTTTTCGTAACGACCGAGTTTGACTTGAACAAAAAACAAAAAGGGAATTTAAAACAATTTCGTTGGCCTGTTTTTCAGTTGTTTAAAAAAGTGGAAAATTTTGACGAATTTTCAAAAATTGAAGAATGGTAAAAAATTTTGATGGTTATTATTTAAATTTTGTATTTTTTAATTAGTGAGTGATTGGTGAATTAAATTTTTTATTTTTCAATTTTTAGAAATTTATCTAGGTTTCTCGAAAATATTTTTCAAAAATGTTGTCAAAATTAACGTTGTAATGTGGCAGATTTACAGTTTTTGAAAACTTGAATGATAGATAACAGGAGCTCCTAAGGACATCTTTGGTACTTTTTAAATAAATTTTGAATTATCAGTGAACGAAATTTTGATTATTTTCGATTTTCTGAAAATTAAAATAATTTTATTTGGGTTGTGCTATTGTTTTGGGGAAATTTAGTACTTTTCGTAACAATCGAGTTTGGCTTGAACCAGAAACAAAAAAGAAATTTAAAACAATTTAATACAACTTTTATTCAGTTTATTAAAAATAAACTTAGAAATCGTGACAAATTTTCAAAAATTTAAAAGAGATATAAAATTTTACAGGTTAATTAAATTTTGTATTTTTTAATTATCGAGTGTTTGGTGAATTCAATTTTTTTATTTTTCAATTTTTGAAAATTTGGTTTCTGGAAAAGTATTTCTCAAATCAAAATTAACGTTGTAATATTTCTGGAACATTTTTTACAGTTTTCGAAAATTTGAAGGATAACAGGAGCTCTTAAGGACATCTATGATATTTTTTAAATAAATTTTGTATCATTAGTGAATGAAATTTTGATATTATCGATTTTTAAAAAAATAAAATATTTGATTTTGTTTTTGCGGTTGTTTTTGGGAAATTTTGTACTTTTCGTAACACCAAGTTCGGCTTGATCAAAAAACAAAAAGAGAATTTAAAACAATTTAATTGACCTGTTTTTCATTTCATTTAAAAAAAATGGAAAATTTTAACGAATTTTCAAAAATTGGAGAATGATAAATTTTGCTGATTATTATTTAAATTTTGTATTTTTTAGTTAGTGAGTGATTGGTGAATTCAAATTTTTTATTTTTCAATTTTTGAAAATTTATCTAGGTTTCTGGAAAATATTTTTCAAAAATGTTGTCAAAATTAACGTTGTAATTTGGCAGATCTACAGTTTTTGAAAATTTGAATGATAGATAACAGGAGCTCTTAAGGACGTCTTTGGTACTTTTTAAATAAATTTTGAGTTATCAGTGAACGAAATTTTGATTATTTTCGATTTTCTGAAAATTAAAATAATTTTATTTTGGTTGTCTTATTGTTTTGGGGAAATTTTATACTTTTCGTAACGACCGAGTTTGACTTGAACAAAAAACAAAAAAGGAATTTAAAACAATTTCGTTGACCTGTTTTTCAGTTGTTTAAAAAATTGGAAAATTTTGACGAATTTTCAAAAATTTTCGTTCATAATTTAAATTTCGTATTTTTTAATTAGTGAGTATTCGGTGAGTTCAATTTTTTAAAAATTTTTAGAAAAATTGAAAATTCCAGTACCTAACGAAAATCGAAAACTCAGAAATCAAAAAATCGAAAAGAGAAATATAGGAGAATTGAAAAATGAAAAATCGGGTAATCAAAAACCGAAAATTAAAAATTTGAAAATCGAGATTTTGAATAATCGAAAAGCCGAAAAATGGAAAAATCGTAATTTCGAAAACTGAAAATTCGAGTAACGAAAATCGAAAACTCGATGAATCAAAAAATCGAAAAACAAAAAACTGAAAATTCGAATTCGATGAATCAAATATTTTAAAAGCGAAAACCGAAAATTAAAAATTCAAAAATCCAAGAAACGAAATATCGGAAATCGAATAATTGTGGAAAAGTTGAAAAATCGAGAAATTAAATTAAAAAAAATTGAAAACCAGAGATCGAAAAATCGAAATTTTGAAAAATTGAAACCTGGAAATGTCAAAAATCGAAAAATGAAGCTTTAAAATTCGAGTAACGAAAATGGAAAACTCGGGAAATTGAAAAATCGGCAGATCGGAAAGGAGACGTTTGAAAACTCAAATTTTGGAAAATTGAAAAGTCGAAAAACGAAAAAATTGAAAAATGGGGTAATTGAAATTGAAAAAATTGAAAACTAGAATATCGAAATTTCGAAAATTGAAAATGAGAAAAATCGAAAATTCTAAATATCGATCGAAAACCCAAAAATTCAGGTTAGTACCTGCTAAAATAAGATCGATTTTGGCAAATGATTGTTTTAAATTTTTCAAAAAAAAAACGGAGTCCAAAATTAACTCAAAAACAGGTCAAGTCAGAATTTTCCAAAAACAACACCGAAGTCCCCCAAAAATTGAAAATTCGAAAAATTGTTACTTTTCGAATTTTCAATTTTTCGGATTAATGATTTCCCGGTTTTTAAACTTTCGTTTTCTCAATTTTCAAAAATTTTCGTTCATAATTTAAATTTCGTATTTTTTAATTAGTGAGTATTCGGTGAGTTCAATTTTTTATTTTTCAATTTTTGAAAATTTCGGTTTCTGGAAAAGTACTTCTCATAAATTTTATCAAAATTAACGTTGTAATATTTTTGGAACACTTAACAGTTTTCGAAAATTTGAAGGATAACAGGAGCACTTTAAGACATCTTTGGTATTTTTTAAATACATTTTGAATCAGTAGTAAATGAAATTTTGATTATTTTTGATTTTCGAGAAATTAAAATAATTTCATTTTGGGACATTTTGTACTTTTCGTAACGACTGAGTTTAGCTTGAAGAAAAAACAAAAGTGGATTTTAGACAATTTATTGACTCATTTTTCAGTTTATTTACAAAAGTGTAAAATTTTGACGAATTTTCAAAAACTGAAGAGCGGTAAAAATTTTTGCTGATTATTTAAATTTTTAATTTTTCAATATTTGAAAATTTTGGTTTTTGCAAAGGTATTTTTAAAAAAAATTGTCAAAATTAACATCGTAATTTGGCCTATTTACTGTTTTCTGTTATTATTTTTTGGGAAATTTTGTACTTTTCGTAACGTAATTTAATTTAGCGTTTTTCAATTTGTTCAAAAAAGCGGAAAATTTGGACGAATTTTTAGAAATTGAAAAGCAGTAAGTTTTCATTTATTGTTTAATTTCTTGATTTTTAAATATCGACTATTGAATCAGTTTTTGTATTTTCAGTTTTTCTGGATTTAAATTTTTTGAAAAGTATTTTGGTAAAGTTAATGATGCTTATTTTTTACAATTTTCGAAAATTAAAAGGATAACAGGACATTTTTAAAGACATTTTGAATTCTTGATGAATCAAATTTTTATCATTTTCGATTTTTGGAAAATTAATTGTTTTTCAGTGCATTTTTAGACAACAAAAAATTGGGTCGTTATTAAGCAGATAAACCAAAATTTAACCCAAATTTGTACTTGATCCACTTCGAAAAATTCGTGACGTCATACATACATGTTATTAATTTTTGGGAAATTTTGTACTTTTCGTAACGTAATTTAATTTAGCGTTTTTCAATTTGTTCAAAAAAGCGGAAAATTTTGACGAATTTTTAGAAATTGAAAAGCAGTAAGTTTTCATTTATTGTTTAATTTCTTGATTTTTAAATATCGACTATTGAATCAGTTTTTGTATTTTCAGTTTTTCTGGATTTAAATTTTTTGAAAAGTATTTTGGTAAAGTTAATGATGCTTATTTTTTACAATTGCACATTTTACAATTTTCGAAAATTAAAAGGATAACAGGACATTTTTAAAGACATTTTGAATTCTTGATGAATCAAATTTTTATCATTTTCGATTTTTGGAAAATTAAAATTGTTTTTCAGTGCATTTTTAAACAACAAAAAATTGTGTCGTTATTAAGCAGATAAACAAAATTTAACCCAAATTTGTACTTGATCCACTTCGAAAAATTCGTGACGTCATCCATAGAGTGCTAGATTGCGGAAAAACGATGATGTCATCTCTTGTCAGAATCGTGCATCCCTTCCACGAAACTGATGACGTCATCTTAAACATCGATAATTTTTTAGATTTTCTCGATAACTGTCGTCGTCAAGATCTAGACGTGGTGTTATCGTTTAATGTAGCACTAGCGATTAAACTTACAGGTGCATTTAGATAAGATCGAATGACACGTTCCAGACGCAAAAATGACGAATTACGCTACACAAAGAACGTCTGACAGATCTTTCATAACTCGAGCCCACTTTTCAATTAGCCCCATTATGTAATTTCCGTTTCTTTAAATATTTGCCCACGAAAAAAAGCCGCAAAAAATATCTGTTATTTTAGAAGCTGTTATTAGTCATTTGAAACTCGTTTAGTGATTCATCCTGTATGCGTTAGGCAGTAAGGTACCGTAAACGGCACCAAAATGCCAATAATAGGAACCCGAATCTTAGCGATAATTAACTGTACACTAACAAAACACGCAGAATTCACACCGAAACCATCCGCAATTGTTCCAGCCATAAAGGTCAAACGTCGCATTTCAGGCGAAGACGCTAATTTGCATTGACGTTATTTCAGGGTCGCCATATGCACAGTATTCACAACAGCCCTCTACATCACAACGTACTCTACAGAAGTCTACAGGAAGACCCCAGCGTCCAATACAATGACCACGATGGCCTCGACGAGGCCGAAGATAAGACTGGCTTAGTTCATACCTCGCTCCCCGCCCAGCCGGGCATATCCAGACAGCAGTTGATCAACAGCCCATGCCCGATCTGCGGCGACAAAATCTCGGGATTCCACTACGGGATTTTCAGCTGCGAGTCGTGCAAGGGCTTTTTCAAACGCACGGTACAAAACCGCAAGAATTACGTGTGCTTGAGGGGGGCGGCGTGCCCGGTGACGGTCGCCACCAGGAAGAAGTGCCCCGCGTGCAGGTTCGACAAGTGCCTGCAGTGCGGGATGAAACTCGAAGGTGATTTTTAATTATTTGACAGACATGCAATAACCGGTTATGGTTCCAGCAATTCGCGAGGACCGGACTCGTGGGGGCCGTTCGACGTACCAGTGTTCGTACTCGTTGCCGCCGTCTTTGGCCAATCACGCCGAATTGAGGGCTAGCAGTAACGACCTGAGACAGAGCGTGGAGGCGCACCATGGTCTAACGGTCAAGCTGGAACCTGGAGATGGGTCCACACACCACAAGCGAGGGACCGTGCCGGGGTCCAAGGGTGTCCCGCCGTTATTGCAAGTGAGTGTGTCAACAACCCGAGTATCCGCTCAGTGCTAATCCCGCTCCTAGGAAATAATGGACGTGGAGCACCTGTGGCACTACAACGAAATGGAACTGAACAAACTGAGTACCGAAGGCCACCTGGGGAAAGAAGGTGGAAGCGGCGCCGTCCATAACCTGTCGAATCACCCTCTCCTCGCCGGTACCGCTCTAGCCGGCTCCACCGACACCAACCCCGACTTCGTAGCGAATTTGTGCAATATAGCCGACCGCCGACTCTACAAGATCGTCAAGTGGTGCAAGAGCTTACCCCTCTTCAAGAACATATCGGTAATCACCGCAATCATCCCCGCACTGGGTACAAATTTCGTTCCAGATCGACGACCAAATCTGTCTCCTCATCAACTCCTGGTGCGAGCTGTTGCTGTTTTCGTGCTGCTTCAGATCGATGTCCACCCCGGGCGAAATCCGGGTGTCTCTGGGCAAAAGTATCACTCTAAACCAGGCTAGAGACATGGGCATGCAAGCTTGCATCGAGAGGATGCTGAATTTCACGGAGCAGCTGCGCAGGTTGCGGGTGGACCAGTACGAGTACGTCGCGATGAAAGTCATCGTTTTGCTCACATCAGGTGGGTGGAAATAGCGGTGTGAGTGTGACTTATTGAGGGTTTTAGATACGTCGGAGTTGCGCGAAGCGGAGAAGGTGAGGGCTTCGCAGGAGAAGGCGTTGAAGGCGCTTCAGGACTACACGCTGAGTCATTATCCTGATAGTCCTGCGAAGTTCGGGGAGTTGTTGTTGCGCATTCCGGAGTTGCAGAGGACTTGTCAGGTGGGTGGAAATTCGTAGCGGGTGTCTGGAAAATGGCGTACATAAGTATGGCGGTTTCAGAAGTCCCAATTTTGATCATTTTTTGGAAAAATTAGTCTTCAGTACTTGCTAAGATAACGCTGATTTTGGCAATGCGGTACCCTCTAAGAAAAAAAGGGCGGGTGGGCGGGGCTAGCTGCTAAAATAACACCGATTTTGGCAAATGAGATCCCTGCAAGAAAGTTGAGGGCGGGTGGGCGGAGTTAGTATCTGCTAAAATAAGATCTATTTTGGCAAATGACATACATGACATGGGTGAGACGAGATACCTTCTAAGAAATGAAAGGGTGGGTGGGCGGGGGTAGTACCTTCTAAGATAAGACCAATTTTGGAAAATGAGAGATCCCGATATGATTGAAAATTCGAGTAACGAAAATACAAAACTCGAGAAATCAAAAAAATGAAAATTGAAAAGTCTAAGAACTAAGAGAATGGAAGAATTGAAACAATGGGAAGTTCGATTATTTCGTTTTCCCATTTCTCAATTTCTCGACTTTTCAATGTTTTGATTTCTCAACTTCTCGATTTTTCATCCTGGACATTGATATTTTTCAAAAAAAAAAAATTAAAATTGAAGATATTTCTCGGGTTCTCAATTTTTCGATTTTCCGCTCTTTCAACTTTCGATATCTCAATTTTCGATATTCCAATTTTGTTTCAATCTTTTTATTTTTCGATTTTTCGAGTTTCCAATTCCTCGATTTTTTAATTTCTCAATTTCTCGATTAATCGATTTTTTTATTTTTCCACTTTTCGATTATTTTGTTTTCAGATTTCTCAATTACTCGACTTTTGAAAGTTTTGATTTCTCAACTTCTCGATTTTTGATCCTGGACATCGAGATTTTTGGAAAAAAAATCAATATTGTAGATATAATTTTTCGATTTTTTGACTTTTCAATTTCTCTATTTTTCAACTTTCAATTTTTCGATATTTCAATTAACGATTTTCAGTTTTTCGCGATTTCAGTGTTGGAATTTTTCAATTTTTCGATTTTCCAATTCCTCGATTTTTCAATTTTTCGAGTTCTTGATTTCTCGACTTTTCAATGTTTTGATTTCTCAACTTCTCGATTTTTCATCCTGGACATTGATATTTTTCAAAAAAAAAATCAAAATTGAAGATATTTCTCGGGTTCTCAATTTTTCGATTTTCCGCTCTTTCAACTTTCGATATCTCAATTTTCGATATTCCAATTTTGTTTCAATCTTTTTATTTTTCGATTTTTCGAGTTTCCAATTCCTCGATTTTTTAATTTCTCAATTTCTCGATTAATCGATTTTTTTATTTTTCCACTTTTCGATTATTTTGTTTTCAGATTTCTCAATTACTCGACTTTTGAAAGTTTTGATTTCTCAACTTCTCGATTTTTGATCCTGGACATCGAGATTTTTGGAAAAAAAATCAATATTGTAGATATAATTTTTCGATTTTTTGACTTTTCAATTTCTCTATTTTTCAACTTTCAATTTTTCGATATTTCAATTAACGATTTTCAGTTTTTCGCGATTTCAGTGTTGGAATTTTTCAATTTTTCGATTTTCCAATTCCTCGATTTTTCAATTTTTCGAGTTCTTGATTTCTCGACTTTTCAATGTTTTGATTTCTCAACTTCTCGATTTTTCATCCTGGACATTGATATTTTTCAAAAAAAAAATCAAAATTGAAGATATTTCTCGGGTTCTCAATTTTTCGATTTTCCGCTCTTTCAACTTTCGATATCTCAATTTTCGATATTCCAATTTTGTTTCAATCTTTTTATTTTTCGATTTTTCGAGTTTCCAATTCCTCGATTTTTTAATTTCTCAATTTCTCGATTAATCGATTTTTTTATTTTTCCACTTTTCGATTATTTTGTTTTCAGATTTCTCAATTACTCGACTTTTGAAAGTTTTGATTTCTCAACTTCTCGATTTTTGATCCTGGACATCGAGATTTTTGGAAAAAAAATCAATATTGTAGATATAATTTTTCGATTTTTTGACTTTTCGATTTCTCTATTTTTCAACTTTCAATTTTTCGATTTTCCAATTTCTCGAATTTCAATTTCTGGATTACTGAATTTGAAAATCTAAAAACCGAAAATCGAAATTTCGAATATGTAATCGAAAGATGGAAAAATTGAAAAATCGAGAAATTGAAAAATGGAATATCTAAATTTCGCAAAAAATCGAAAAACTGAAAAATGGAAGAATTGGAAAATGAAAAATCTGGAAATCGAATAGAAATCAAATTGACAATTCGAATATCGAAGTATTTGAAAAGCGAAAATCGGAAAACCGAAAATTCGAAAATCTATAATCCAAAAATTAAACATTGAATATTGAAAAATCGAAATTTCGAAAACTGAGAATGGAAGGATTGAAACATTAGGAAGTCGAAAAGAAAATTGAATACCGAAAAATCGGAAAACCGAAATTCTAAAATCTAAAATTCGGAAATCGAAAAACCAAAAAATTAATAATGAAAATCGAGGAATTGAAATTGATAAAATTGAAAACTAGAATTTCAAAAACTAAAGTCGAAAAATCAAAAATTCGATGAATCAAATATCTGAAAAATCGAAAATTAAAAAAACGACAAATTGGAAAGTTGAAAAATTGAAAAATTCAAGAATGGAAAAATTAAAAATTTGATTGACTAAAAACCAGAGATTGTAAAAATTCTAAAAATCAAAAATCGAAAGAACGAAAAGTGGAAAGTTTGAAAATTCGAGCAACGAAAATCGAAAAGCGCAAAATCGGAAAGTAAAAAAATTAAAAAGTTTAAAAACTGAAGAAAGTAAAAATTTTAAAATGGAAAATTCGAAAAATCAAAATCGAAGTTCGTAAAGTAGAAAGAGTGAAAATTCGAGCGTTGAAAATCGGAAATTCGAGAAATTGAAAAATCGAAGGAAACATTAAAAATTCGAACATTGAAAAATGAAAATTCCATGAATCGAGTTTTCAAAAAACCGAAAAATCAAAAATTTCAAATTTCCAATAATCGAAACGTAGAAAAAAAAAAATATCGAAAGTCGAAAAATTGAAGAATTTAAAAATCCAAATTTTGAAATATCGAAAATTCGATGAGTCAAATACATTTTCAAAAAATCAAAAGTTCGAAAATCGAGATATTGAAACATCGAAAAACTGAAATTGAACAAATTTAAAACTAGAATATCGAAAATTCGAAATATCAAAAACTCTGAAGCTGACAAATCAAAAATTCGGTAAATCAGATATTTGAAAAAACGAAAATTCGAAAAGTTGGAAAATTGAAAAATTGAAAAGTCGAAAAACTGGTGACTAGAAAAGTTAAAAAATCAAGAAATCGAAAAATAAAAAAACTGAAAAGTCTACAAATTGAAGAATGTCATTATAAAAATGAAAAATTACAAATCGAAAAATACAAAGAATGAAAATTGGACCAACGAAAATCGAAAAATGGAAAAGTCCAAAAACTGAAACAAATTGAAAATTCGGGTATCGAAAGCTCGATGAATTAATTATTCGAAAAATTGAAATTAAAAAAATTGAAAACTAGAATATCGAAATTTCGCAAAAAATCAAAAAACTGAGGAATGGAAGAATTGAACAATTGGGAAGTCAAAAAGAAAATTGAATTCCGAAAAATCGGAAAACCGAAATTCTAGAAACTAAAATTCGGAAATCGAAAAACCAAAAAATTGAAATTGATAAAATTGAAAACTAGAATATCGATAAATCGAAATTTCGAAAACTAAAGTCGAAAATTAAAAAAACGACAAATTGGAAAGTTGAAAAATTGGAGAATCCAAGAATGGAAAAATTAAAAATTGTATTGACTAAAAACCAAAGATTATAAAAATTCTAAAAATCAAAAATCGAAAAACGCAAAGTAAAAACATCGAAAATAACGGAAAGTAAAAAAATTAGAAAGTCTAAAAACTGAAGAATGTAAAATTTTAAAAATGGAAAATTCGAAAAATCAAAATCGAAGTTCTTAAAGCAGAAAAGTGAAAATTCGAGCAACGAAAATCGAAAAACGCAAACTAAAAACATCGAAAAATCTGAAAGTAAAAAAATTAAAAAGTCTAAAAACTGAAGAATGTAAAATTTTAAAAATGGAAAATTGGAAAAATCAAAATCAAAGTTCGTAAAGTAGAAAGAGTGAAAATTCGAGCGTTGAAAAGCGGAAATTCGAGAAATTGGAAAATCGAAGGAAACATTAAAAATTCGAACATTGAAAAATGAAAATTCCATGAATCGAATATTCAAAAAACCGAAAAATCAAAAATTCCAAAAATTGAAAATTCGGAAAACTGAAAAAAAATTTAAAAGTCTGAAAACTGAAGAATGTGACTTTCGATTTCTCAATTTTTCAATATTTCAATTTTGGTTCAATCATTTTATTTTTTAATTTTTCGAGTTTTCAATTTCTCAGTTTCTCGAATTTCGATTTCTGGATTACTCAATTTTTGGATTTCTTAACTTTTTCAATTTTCGATTTTTCAAATTCTCTATTATTTCGTTTTCCCATTTCTCAATTTCTCGACTTTTCAATGTTTTGATTTCTCAACTTCTCGATTTTTCGTCTTAGACATTGATATTTTTCAAAAAAACAAATCCAAATTGAAGATATAATTTCTCGGGTTCTCAATTTTTCGGGTTTTCGATTTTTCGCTCTTTCAACTTTCGATACCTCAATTTACGATATTCCAATTTTGGTTCAATATTTTTATTTTTCAATTTTTCTAGTTTCCAATTCCTCGATTTTTTAATTTCTCAATTACTCGACTTTTTAAAGTTTTGATTTCTCAACTTCTCGATTTTTGATCCTGGACATCGAGATTTTTGGAAAAAAAATCAGTATTGTAGATATAATTTTTCGATTTTTTGATTTTTCGAGTTCTCGATTTTTCAACTTTCAATTTCTCAATTTTTCGATATTTCAATTAACGATTTTCAGTTTTTCGAGATTTCAGTGTTGGAATTTTCCAATTTTTCCATTTTTAAATTTTCGATTTCTCGATTTTTTCATTTTCGGATTGTAAAATTTTTTGATTCTCAAATTTTTGCATTTTCCAATTTCTCGATGAAGGGATTTTTTGATTTCTCGACTTTTTGATTTCTCGATTTTTCGACGTTACGACTTTTTGGTTTTCCCTTTTCTAGATTTCTCGAATTTTCAATTTTTCGATGATTCCAGTTTTGGATTTTTTCAAATTTTCTAGTCAATTTTTCCTCGACTTTTGAATTTTTCGATATTTCAGATTTGGGATTTTATTTTCGATTTTTCGACATTTTAATTTTTCAATTTTTTAAAATTTAGATTTTTCGATTTCTCCATTTCTTGATTAATTGATTACTCACTTTTTCGATTTCTTGACTTTTTCATTTTTCGATTTTTCAAATTGTCGATTATTTCGTTTTCCCATTTCTCAATTTCTCGACTTTTCAATGTTTTGATTTCTCAACTTCTCGATTTTTCGTCTTAGACATTGATATTTTTCAAAAAAAAAAAATCAAAATGGAAGATATAATTTCTCGGGTTCTCAATTTTTCGACATTCCAATTTTGGTTCAATCTTTTTATATTTCAATTTTTCGAGTTTCCAATTCCTCGATTTTTTAATTTCTTAGTTTCTCGATTAATCGATTTTTTTATTTTTCGACTTTTCGATTATTTTGTTTTCGGATTTCTCAATTACTCGACTTTTCAAAGTTTTGATTTCTCAACTTCTCGATTTTTGATCCTGGACATCGAGATTTTTGAAAAAAAAATCAATATTGTAGATATCATTTTTCGATTTTTTGTCTTTTCGATTTCTCGATTTTTCAACTTTCAATTTCTCAATTTTTCGATATTTCAATTAACGATTTTCAGTGTTGGAATGTTCCAATTTTTCCATTTTTAAATTTTCGATTTCTCGATTTTTTCATTTTCGGATTGCAAAATTTTTTGATTCTTAAATTTTTGCATTTTCCAATTTCTCGATGAATGGATTTCTTGATTTCTCGACTTTTTGATTTCTCGATTTTTCGACGTTACGACTTTTTGGTTTTCCCTTTTCTAGATTTCTCGAATTTTCAATTTTTCGATGATTCCAGTTTTGGATTTTTTCAAATTTTCGAGTCAATTTTTCCTCGACTTCTGAATTTTTCGATATTTCAAATTTGGGATATTATTTTCGATTTTTCGACCTTTTAATTTTTGTAAATTTTCGATTTTTCGATTTCTCCATTTCTTGATTAATTGATGCTTTGATTTTTCGACTTCTCAATTTATAGAATTTTCGATTTTTCGATTTCTCGATTGTTCAACTTTCTCTTAATTCTTCACTTTCCAATTTTCCAATTTTTCAGTTTAACGATTTTTCAATTTTTCAGCTTCTGACGTTTTTAAATTTCCGACTTCTCAATTTCTCGATTTGTCGAATTTCAGTGTTTCAATTTCTCAATTTTTCATTGTGGGCGTAGTAGAGATTTTTGCAAAAAAAAATCAAAATTGTAATAGCTATAACAACTTTTTGATTTCTAAAAGATTCCTTTAAATTTATCTGGAAATAAAACACCGGGGGACCTAGAATAACTGCGAACATTTTAAGGGTGCCGTCTGGAGGCAAAATATCTGCCTGGTCAAAGTGAGAATAAAACGACCCGGGAGATGCTGCCTCCTGTTAGTGAATTGCTAAAATGTGAATAAATGCAGCACCGATCCGTAGAATTCTACATTTTACTGTACGGAAATAAGTTTTAGTACACAAGCCGCAGTGCCTGTCTAGCCATAATAGTTGCAAACAAAACCCGGGTACCTGAATTTACCCTTGACCGTTCAAAACCGGAAAGATGTAAAACTCACTGATTCATTTTCCTATTTTGGCTACAGTTAATTCTTTCCAGTTATTTATTTTGTTTCCGTACTTAAATTGTTTTCGGTAAATATATTAAATATATGTAAATATTAAAGTACCTCCTACTGTCGGGGAATCATCTGTAGATATGTGATTTATTCCTATCAAGGATGTGTCGTTTGTCTGAATTACAGGAACATCATGTAAAGCAAAAATTGGTCGCGCCAAGGTACTATTTACGAACGGGAGGGATTTTCCACATTTGTAGGCTAAACTTGAAATAAGAGAATTAACAATATTTCCGGTATAAGTAAATATTTTTATTATTTTCCTACTATCTGCACTGTCGGACATGCCCATTCATTACAAATAGAATATTTTTGGCGGAAAATGTTTCTTAAACTTAATAATGTATAAGAGTTTGGTTTTGTTATTTACTTTATCGTTTGCAACAAAACAATAGTAATAAAAATAAAAATATATTTACCAAGTAAATAACAATAAATTGTTAAAATTATTAGCCGCAATCGTTTGAAAATGAATAATAACGTGTCCTTGAAGCTATTAGCCACATAACAAAATTTTTTACTTTCTTCAACGCAAATCATTAGTACGTTGTATGCAAGTAATTCTAAGCATTCAACGGTGGTTTTTTATGTAAGTACTAAAATATTCATGTTAATTATTTTGGCGGCTAACTGCATGGCAGAAGGCAGTTTATTTAAAAATTTGACTTTGCTTAAACTGTTTGTTAGTATATCGTTTTGTAAGGATTTAAATAATTAATTTTAAATTTTTAATAGAAGCAGCTGCTATTTTTTATGCATATTAACTTTGACTTGCACTTTTAATTTTACGTATATCATATGCTTGCGCATCGTAAACCTCATTTTTTTGTATAAGGTGTAAATATTTTTTGTTCACTACATATTTGTCATACTGTTTCGGAAAGATTTAATTTTAAATTTTAGGCTTGAACAACAGCTTGAACGTAATTTTAAATTCGGAAAAAAATTGCTACTCAAATGGAGTCGAAAGCGTGTACAAGGGATAATTTCAGTCCGCAATACCAGTCCCACTTCCGGTGACAAACAAAAGTTGTTAAATTTATTGTAGGTGGTTGTTTACATCTGGCTGGTAGAAATGGTAGAGTCCTATGAATGTAATTGTTTGAAATGCACGTAAAGTACCTTTTTTCGGCAAAACTCAGTTTTGGAACAGTTGCCAATGTTACTACCACTTTGTCAGTGTCTGCCTAAAACATAGTTTCGGTCGTCCACTTACAAATTATTTGCACTATATTTTTGTTGTTACACCTTATTTTATAATAATGGCTCGTGACAAATTTTATCTACGCAAAAAAAAACAAAACGTGCAATTAGCACAAAAAATTGTACAAACAGTAAAAAAATACATAAGTTTATTGAATTGAAATAAAAACATCCAACTTAAACGAAATCATCAATACTTTTATCAAGTATGTTATAAGCTGTGAAACATTAATCCTTTTCCCGTCATAATTCAAACTACAACATTTTTAGATTCAAGGTCAACTGGAAATTTGTGAAAAGGAGATTTGCTACTTTGTGGTTTATAGTGGAGATAAGAATGACCTCCATATAGAAACAATATTTAGAGATCGAAAAATATGGACAGAAATTATGTTTCCAAAATTAGAAAAATTCTATCGCTGCTGTTTGGCTCCTGAAATAATACTGAACAGGAGGTCAAAAAATTTGAAATGTTTAAATTTTGTTGGTTGTCTGTATGCCCCATTTTTTAAGGGATTAGTAATATATAATTAAAATAAGCAGCATTTACAAATATTAATATTGCATGGGTTCGGTTTAACAAGTGTGTGCTGTGAAATTATACTGAGTATTACAGTCTGGATAGAAAGTCGCTAACCCGATTTGTTCTGTTACTGTCCTACAGAAGATAATATGCTTTTCTACCTGCCATCAACTCATCTCTCTTTAATCATACCTATATCGGCGTAGGTTGATTATGATTACAAAACTTTGACATCGTTTTACTTCTTTCATCTTCAGCAACAACTCAATGACGTTTCAGAGTATATATAATAAAACACGTTTCAATTTTATTTTTCATAAAGGATAAAAAATAATTAATATAAAACAGATTTATATGTGCCTCAGCTGCGGAGGATTGTAAATACCTTTTGATCTCTTAAATAAAACATACTTTACTATAACTAACTTTTAACGTATCCATCTTTTTTACTCTTTTAGTAAAAAAGATGGATACGTTATTTTGTCACTTCTAAAAACCGAAATGGTATTGTAAAATCGGAAATGCGATATCAAAATTTTATTCCGATAAATCGCTGAGTAAAAACAGCTCCCCCTGGTGGACAAGGTCCACATTAAATTAAGTCTGCAACCAAACCAGAATCTAAGTAAACCTGTATTCTGCTACGGCATCATAGCGCGTTTAATGGCGATTTCTCGTTTCAACAGATTCTGTCTTTTCGAGAGTTATTTACCTCAGTCGTGAATTTTTTAGGATTATAAATGGTATCAAAAGAAAGCTGACACTTTTCCCCAGGGGACCTCCTATCTCAGAATGCAAATCACTTCAGCACTTCTTCAAAAAATGCATCAATGTACCGGTTAAATCTGGTGTAAAAATTGGCCAACTTTATAATTTTTTTTTGTAAAAACTGCGGACTAGATATGAATATAAATATGGAGGTCCCCTGGACTCAAGTTTCTTAATTCGAAATATAATTTTTTTAAAGCGATATATCCCGTATTTTCAAAATGCAACTCCGGAAACCACGACGATGTTTTCAATGTATTTAGTATAGGGCAAAACCGATCCAGACGCGAGCCTTAAACGTAGAGTTTTGACAACTTTGACAATTTTTGATATGTCAAATGTCAAATGGAACTGTCCAATTATTACAAAAACAACACAACCATGTCTTTGTACATTCTAACTGAAATGGTAATTTAACATCAAACAAAGAGCGTAGCGATTTTCCAGACACCCGGTATAGTGTGAATATCAGTGTTTGACTGTGGTGGAATTTCAGGTGGGGAAGGAGATGTTGACGATCAAGTCGAAGGACGGCGACGGGCCGAGCTTCAACCTGTTGATGGAGCTCCTCCGAGGGGATCACTAGATGTGCCTTATTAGCTTTGGTGGCGGGGTCATACTTACAGACAGTATTGCTTATTACTCTTAGCTTTAAGTGGAATTTTACGTACTTAGTAACGTGCTGGACACTCGATTCACGTTTCCAGCATGTCTGATATTGAAACTGACATAGTTATAGTTTGAGTTGCAGCTCTGTACAGACATGCGGAAATTTTAAGGTTAGGTTTGACGGAATTGTATATATATTTTTAAATTAAGTTTCTATTTTGATATTTTTTATTATATATTATCTGAGGCTATTTATTGTGCCGAAACGTTGACGAATTTTTCTAACAGTTATTTTAGTAAGGCGTGCTCAAAGTATCTAATACGAGTCGGGCATAGTTTTTGCAATCGATTGTATAGCGCTTCGTGATTGGTCATCGAGTGGCCAATCGAGTCACGTTTTCACGTTTACACGGGTCACTCGATGATGGAGCATGAAAGCCCTACTGTTCCATTCCAATGGCGTGTTGATTTCAAGCGGTCAAACTGCTTTGCACGTAACGTAACGTACTCAGCGTAACGCATGCGCAATCATGAACAATTAGATTAGCCATCCTTGACGTCACGTTACGAATTACGGTATGCGTTGCGCTCGTGGACAAGACTATTGTTGTAAATAGTCTTTTTTATTTATTCAAAAAAAAAATAAAAAATAAAAATATTTTTGTAGTGCCAACACTTTAAATTTGTCTTTCGTTACGCACTCTATTAAAAATTGTTTTATTTATTTATTCGGACGCAACTTGTTATTTATTGTTGGCGTTGACTTTTAAAGTTGTGGAAAATTTTAATGCACGATTTTCGCTGCATGATCATCTGTACCAGTGTCAATATTAAAAAAAAAAAAAGAAAAAACATAAGACTTAGGGGAGGCCTTCCATGCCTGCATACAATGCAGTATTAGCCCTAATACTTTTTGTACTTGTCATTTACTAGCAATTTATACAAAAACAATTTTGTATTGAAATATTTAAATATACATTACATCAAAACAAGTCGTTTTCATTCATTAATATATTGTAAATAAATTTTAACTAAAGTTGTAAGCACAGAATGATGTATTCGTTAGACAATCTAAAACCTAGTCAGCCTACAGCGATAAATTTATTATTTACACCAATCACAATCATTCTTTCCTCTCGTCCTCGTCCTCCTCCTCCCAGTCGTCCATCAACTTGTGCACCGTCTCCCCCGCCGCCTTCGCCTTCTCCTTCTGGTCCGACTGCTGCGAATCCGTGTCCTCCCAGTCGTCCAGAATGGAGATCTTCGTCGAGATGGTCTTCTGGTGCGAGTCTTGCGAAGACTGAGAATTCTCATCATTGTACTGACTAGTGGAGGTGTCGCTCTGCGACAACTCGGGCTCGCCGGCCACCTCCTCCCTCGTCTTCTCGTCGTCCCCCAACTCCTCCTCGACCTCCTTATCCTCCTTTTCCTTCGTTTCGTCCTCCTCTGCAACCACCTTGCTCGCTTCCTCAATTTCTTCGTCAGTTTTCTCCGGTTGGGGTTGCTGGGGTTCCGCTTCGTCCTGGAATTCCACCAAGCTCGACTCCGGGATTTCCTCCCGATATTCCTCCCGAAGGGGGGACGCTTCTCGCTTTTCTTCCACGGGAGGCGGAGCCGCAGGCTCCGGCTCCGCCTCAGGTGCAAGCACCTCCCCCACTTCCGTTAACTCCGCCTCTTCCGCCTTCGTAGTCTCGACTTCGTCCACCTTTTCGGGTTCTTCAGGCGTCTCTTCAGGTATCTCTTCAGGTGTTTCTTCAGGTGTTTCTTCAGGTGTCTCTTCAGGTGTCTGCTCAGGTGTTTCTTCAGGCGCTTCTTCAGCCGGTGGCGCCTCTTCTTGACTCTCCACCACCGCCGGCTCCGCCGCCTCCTGTGGGGCGGTTTCCTCCGCAGGCACTAAAGGCGACGTGAACTCCAGCTGCTCGCCCTGCGTTAAACTCTCGATTATCGCGTCGGCGCGCGCGGGCGGCGCTTCGGGTTCTTTCGCCGGCTCCTCCTTCTGGACTTCCGGTTTGCTCTCTTCGTCGTAGAGAGACTCCTGTTTTAATTCCTGGTGGTTTTCGATCTCGCGCTGGATCATCTCGATTGACTCGATGTGAGTATCCTGGGGGTTCATCACGACTTGGCTGGCCGTGGAGGTGATTGTGGCGCCGTTGCGGATTTCGAGCATGCCTTGGGAGTTCACCATGATGTTGTCCTGCGAAAATAGCTCCAATTTATTGTGAAAAAAAGTGGTAGGTTATTTCGATAGAAGTTCCCTCGCCCGTGAAGTAATAAAGCCCGCTTTTTTGAAAAATTATAAAATTTGGTTGTGATTTTATCGAAAGGTCGCAAATCGAAAAAAAACAGTTGAAAATCGAAAAACTAAATAATGACAAAATTTAAAAGTCCAAGAATTGAAGAATGAAAAAGTAAAAAATCGGGACATGGAAAAGGAAACAAATCGAAAATCGATTCAAAAAAAAAAAAAAATTCTAAAATCAAAACGTTGAAAAATTAAAAAATTGAAAATTTGAGTAACGAAAATAGAAAACTCCGGAAATCAAAATATCAAGAAATAAAGTTGAAAAATCGAAAAACTGAGGATGGAAGAATTGAAAATTGAAAGCTTGGAAAATCGAAAATTCTAGAATCTAAAAACCAAAAAATTAAAAATTCGAAAATCGAGATTTCGAAAAATCCAAGAAACGAAATATCGGAAGTCTAATAATTGGATACTTTTAATATCGAAAATCGAAAACTCGGGAAATCAAAATATAGGGAAGTAAAAAAGTCGAAAAATCCAAAAGGAAACAAATGGAAAATTTGAATACCGAAAAATCGGAAAACCGAAAATTCTGGAATCTAAAAATTGGAAAACGAAAAACCAAAAAAATTGTAAAAATTCTAAAATCGCGATTTCCAAAAATCCAACAAACAAAATATCGAAAGTCGAAAAATCACAAATTCTAAAATCGAAAAGTCGAAAAATAGAAAAAATCAAAAATCGGGAAATTGAAATTGACAAAATCGAAAATTTGAAAAACGAAAATTCGAAATTTGAAAAATTGAAAATGAGAAAAATCGAAATTTCGAAAAATCCAAGGTCGAAAAATAAAAAATTCGATGAATCAAGTATTTGAAAAATTGCAAAATAGAAAAACTGAACAGTGGAAAAATTAAAAATTCGGGAAAGCGTAAAACAAAAAAAAATAAAGTTTAAAAACTGAAAACGTTAAAACTGAAAATTAAAAATTCTAAAAATCATAAAATCGAAGGAACGAAAATTAGAAAAATTGAAAATTGAAAATTCGAGGAACGAAAAACTGAAGAATGGTAAAATTGAAAAGTAAAAAAATTAAAAAGTCTAAAAACTGGAGAACATAAAAATTTAAAAATGAAAAATTCAAAAAATTAAAATCTAAAATACGAAAAGTAGAGTGAAAATTCGAGCACTGAAAATCGGAAATTCCAGAAATCAAAAAATCGAAAAGTAAAAAAAAAATTAAAAACCAAAAATTCAAAAATCGAAGGAAATAATTTAAAAATTCGAACATTGAAAAATGAAAATTCCATGAATCAAATATTCCAAAAACCTTATATTCAAAAATTCTAAAATCGACAATTCCAAATTTCCAAGAATCGAAATGTAAAAAAAACCGAAATATCGAAAGTCGAAAAATTGAAAAATCTAAAAGCGAAAAATCGAAACGTTGACAATTGGAAAAAATTAAAATCTAAAAATGAAAAAGCGAAAAGCAAAAAATTGAAAAATTGAGAATGCAAAAATTGAAAATTCGGGAAACCGAAAAATCAAAAATTCGAAAATTGAGGTTTCGAAAAATGTAAGAATCGAAATGTAGAAAAAACGAAATATAAAAAATCGAAATTTCGAGAACTGAAAATTTGAAAATTCGAGTAACGAAAATCGAAAACTCGGGAAATCAAAATTTCGAAAAATCCAAGATTGAAAAATCAAAAATTCGATGAATTAAATATTTGAAAAATCGAAAAAAAAAGCAAACAATTGGAAAGTTGAAAAATTGAAAAATAAAAAACTTAAGAATGGAAAAATTAAAAATTCGGGAAACCATACATTAAAGTTTAAAAGTTGAAGAACGTAAAAATTGAAAATTCGAGCAATGAAAATCAGAAAGACAATTCGGGAAATTAATAAATCGAAAAGTAAAAAAAAATTAAAAACCAAAAATTAAAAAATTTAAAAGCGGTAAATCGAAATGTCAAAAAATGGAAAAAATGAAAATCGAGAAATGAAATGGGAAAAATACAAAACTCAAAAAATGGAAGAATGTCGAAAATACGAAAAGTAGAAATTAAAAATGAAACAAATTAAAAATTCGAATATTGAAAAATCTAAATACAATGATAAAATATTCGGACCGAAAAATCAAAAATTCTAAAATCGACAAATCTAAATTTCCAAAAATTGAAATGTTGAAAAAAAAATAAATATCGAAAGTCGAAAAATGGAAAAAAAGGAAAAATCGCGAAACGAAAAAGCGACACGTAAAAAAATTGAAAAACTGAAGAATGCAAAAACTGAAAATTCGGTAGAGCGAAAAGACTTAAAAGTTCAAAAACTGAAGAAAAAAATAAAACAAAAAATGGATAATTCGAAAAATCAAAAAACCGAAGAATAAATAAAGATTGAAAATTATGGAAACGGAAAAATAAAAGTCTAAAAACTGAAAATTGTAAAAATTGAAAATTTGAAAAATCAAAAAATTGAAAGATTGAAAATTTGAGCAACAAAAATCTAAAATTTGAAAAATAGAAGAATTGGAAATTCGAAAAGGAAATATTGAAAAATCAAAAATTCGATGAATCAAATATTCGAAAAACCAAAAATTTCGAAAATACAGAACCCGAAAAATCGAAAACAGAAAAAACAAAAATTCTGAAATCGACAATTCCAAGAATCGAAGTGTAGAAAAAAACGAAATATCCAAAGTCAAAAAATGAAAAAACAAAAAATTGAAAATTCGGGAAACCGAAAAATAAAAATTTAAAAGTCCAAAAACCGAAGAATGTAAAAATTGAAAATTCGAAAAATCTAAGAAACGAAAAGTAGAAAGATTGAAAAATCGAAAAACTGAAGAGCGCAAAAAAATGAAAATTAGGGAAAGCTCAAAAGAAAAAAATTAAAAGTCTAAAATCTGTAAAACGTAAAATTTGAAAATTCGAAAAATCCAAAAATGGAATAATTGAAAAATTGGGACATCGAAATTAAAAAAATTGAATCGAAATTTGTAAAAATGGGAAAAACAAAAATTTGAAAAACTAAAGAATGCAAAAAACTGAAAATCCGGTAAAGCGAAGATTTAAAAGTCTAAAAAAATAAAAAATGGAAAATTCGAAAAATCAAAAATTGAAAAAACGAAAAGAAAAAAATTGAAAAATAAAAAAACCGAAGATACAAAGAATATTGAAAATTAGGGAAACCGAAAAATACAAGTCTAAAAACTGGAAAATGTAAAAATTGAAAATTCGAAAAATCAAAAATTCGAAAATGAGATATTGAAAAATTCAAGAATCGATCTAGAAAAAATGAAATATCGGAAGTCGAAAAATCACAAATTCTAAAAACGGAAAGTCGAAAAATGGAATACATTATTGAAAAATCGAGAAATCGGAATTGAAAAAAAATCGAAATTTCGAAAACTGAAAATCCGAAAAATCGAAAATTCAAAACTTCGAAAACTGAAAAAACAAAAATTTGAAAAATGAGAAGCTGAAGAATCAAAATGTAAAATGGAAAATTCCAAAATTTAAAATCGAAAAACCGAAAAATCAAAAATTCTGAAATCGACAATTCCAAGAATCCAAGTATAGAAAAAAACGAAATAGTATCGAAAAATGAAAAAAAAGGAAAAATCGAGAAATGAAAAAGTGACAAGTAAAAAATATTGAAAAATCGAAAAATCGGAGGATGTAAAAACTAAAAACCGAAAAGTAAAAAATTTGAAAAACTGAAAAGCCGGTAAAGCGAAAAGATTTAAAAGTCCAAAAAAATTAAAAATGGAAAATTCGAAAAATCAAAACTTGAAAAAACGAAAGGAAAAAAAATTGAAAAACCAAAAAACCGAAGAGTACAAAAAAGATTGAAAATTAGGGAAACCAAAAATAAAAGTCTAAAAACTGAAAAATGTAAAAATTGAAAATTCGAAAAGTCAAAAAATTGAAAAGATTGCAATAACTGAAAATCCGGTAAAGCAAAAAGATCTAAAAGTCCATAAAAATAAAAAATGGATAATTTGAAAAATCAAAAACTAAAAAAAAAACGAAAAGTAATAAAAATTGAAAAATAAAAAAGTCGAAGAATACAAAAAAGATTGAAAATTAGTGAAACCGAAAAATAAAAGTCTAAAAACCGGAAAATGTAAAAATTGAAAATTCGAAAAATCAAAAAATTCAAAGATTGAAATTTCGAGCATCAAAAATCGAAAATTTGAAAAATAGAAGAATTGGAAAATCGAAAAGGAAACAAATTGAAAATTCGAATATTTAAAAATCTAAAATTCGATTAATCAAATTTTTGAAAAACCAAAAAATCAAATATTCGAATATTCAAAAATCTAAAATTCGATGAATTAAATTTTCGAAAAACCAAAAAATCAAAAATTCGAAAATCGAGATATTGAAGAATCCAAGAATCGAAAGCTAGAAAAAATTAAATATTCGAAGTCGAAAAATCGCAAATTCTAAAAACGGAATACATACATTGAAAAATCGAGAAATCGGAATTAAAAAAAAATCGAAATTTCGAAAATTGAAAATCCGAAAAATCGAAAATTCAAAACATCGAAAACTAAATAAATAAAAATTTCAAAAATGAGAAGCTGAAGAATCGAAATGTAAAAAAAATGGAAAATTCGAAAATTTAAAATCGAAAAACTGAAAAATAAAAAATTCTGAAATCGACAATTCCAAAAATCGAAGTGTAGAAAAAAACGAAATATCGAAAATCGAAAAATGGAAAAAAAGGAAAAATCGAAAAATGAAAAAGCGAAAACTAAAAAAATGAAAAATTGAAAAATCTAAGAAACGAAAAGTAGAAAGTTTGAAAAATCGAAAAACTGAAGAACACAAAAAAATGAAAATTAGGGAAAGCGCAAAATAAAAAAAGTCCAAAACCTGAAAAACGTAAAATTTGAAAATTCGAAAAACCCAAGAATGGAATAATTGAAAAATTGGGACATCGAAATTAAAAAAATTGAAAAATCGAAGTACAAAAGATGAAAATTCGAGTTTCAAAAAATTAACAAATCGGAAATTTCAAAAATCGAAAATTCGGTGAATCAAATGTTAAACTTAAATGTATAACCTTAAAGCGTTCACGATTTCAAAGCACTAGGTTCTGCAAAATGTTATACAACTTTGATTTTTTCCTCAAAAATCTGGACTTTCTAGGGTAAAAAGTCAAGACGGATTCATGAATCACACATAGAGGAGTAATGAAATTCTGTAAAATTTAAACTAAAAATTTTGATTAACGATTTAAGTACCTTCCGATTACCTTGAAACACGATTTTGCAGTTTCAAAGTTAATTTGGAAAATGCTGTTATACAATTTTGTTTTTTTTTCCAAAAACCTGGATGTCTAGGACAAACACTCAACACGGATTCATAAACCACAACTTAAACAACATTTACTACAATAAACTAGTAACAGACGAGTGACAGAAACAGGGACCTATTTTTTCGTACTGTCAAAAAATTTACCTGTGACGTGATGAACTGCTCCTGCTGCCCATCCACCGGATGACTATACAACACCACGATATTCGAATTGTCGTTATTAACCTCCTCCTGATTATCCCCGTAGTCGTGGTCCGTCAACACCATCACCAACTCGTCAGTCGAACCGATATCGCCCGAAGACAACATCGACTGCGTTATCACCCCATCAGTCGTAATAACCTCGTTCTGAGTCGTCGTGAACGAGTCGCGCCCCGACAATTCCGGCAAAATAAACTCGGGCTGTTCGTTTTGGTCGCTGAACGTCTGCTGATTCGGTTGCAAAAATATCTGCTGACTATCATTCAAAACGACGATGTCGACCAACCCCAGACTCGTCGCTATCCCAGTAGCCACATTATTCAACGCTTCGGCTTCCGAACTCGGTTCTAGAGTGAGCTGTCGGGTGTGTTCTTGGCGCTCTTGAACCTTCACATTCGATAAAATGTTCACCTACGAAAAATAAAAAAATTGTAGTAGAGTGACGCGAAAGTGGCGCAGTCGGTTATTACTTTTTTCGAGCCTTGCGGTTCGGGGTCGGAGATGATTTCGGGGAGAATGTACTCGTCTTTGACCGCCTCGTCGTCGTCGAGCTCCTCCATGTAGTCCATCTCGTCTATGCTCACAATCCCGTCCCTCATGGCTTCGCTCTTGTGCTGCCCCCTCACGTGCGAGAACAAGTTAACCCCGGATTGGAACCGCTTCGTACAGTACTGGCAATCGTAGTTGCTCTTGTTCGACTTCCCCGTGTGACCCGTGATCTGTATGTGACTCGTCAAGGTCGTCTGCGACGTGAACGCCAGCTTACACTCCATACACTGGATCTCGTTTTTGCCGTGACGTAATTTGTGTTTCGTGAGTATGTTGGAGGAAAGGGCGATGAAAGGGCACTGGTCGCACTTGGGGAAGTTGTACCCGGGGGGCGGCTTCATCCCGTGTTTCGTGTACAAGTGATACATCAGCAGGTTCTGCTTGTTGCATCTGTGACCGCAGTACTTGCACAACTTCGGATCGAACTTTTCGTTGTGGACGTCCGTCATGTGTTTGCGGTACAAGTAGTAGAGGACGAACTCGACGGGCTCGTCGTCGGTGCTGCACCGGTCGCACATCCACGGAGCCTTGTTTTCGGGCCTCGCCTCCGCCTCGCGGTTCTTCACGGGCTTCGGCGACTCCACCTTCTGGATTTCGGTGACCTTCAACCTCGGCGCCCTCTCCACCTTCGCCACCTCCGGCGACTTATTCTTCGCCATGATCTTCAACCGAATGTTTTTATTCTTTTTCACTAGTTGTGGGTACTTTTTTAGAATCTCTGTCACGATTTTCTCGTGATTCAGCTCCCCGGCACTTTTCCCCTCCGTGGCGATGCTAATCGTCGTTTGTTTGTTCTCGGGCTCGTCGAACCTCACCTTCTTCACCACCCCTCCTTTCTTCTGCTCCGGCATCTTCCTCTTGCCGAGTTCCGGCATCTCCACGTCGTCCAAGTCCGCGTCTTGGCTCAAGCCCGACCTGATTTTCTGCTCCTTGACGTAGTTCTTGAGTTCCTCCATGTCTAGACTGGGGCTGCCGAGCTTCTTCGCCGGGATCGCGGCCCGGTTGGCGTTGGGTATGTGCCTGAGGTCGTCGAAGGAGGTGGTGGCGCGTTGCTCCTCCTCCTGGGTGAGGAGGGGCTTGCTGGTGTACGAGATTTCTTCGAAGCTGGTGTCCATGGGGTTGAGCGGGGGCAGGTCGTCGTCGGGCCACTCGAAGCGGGTTGGCTTGGGCGTGTTGTCGGGGATGGAGAGGGGGTCGGGGGGCGGGGCCCACTTGGGTTCCGAGTAGCTCAGTTGGGAGACGCTGTGCGAGTGGGAGGGCGACGGAGCGGGGATGCTCTTGCGCTTCCAGACGGGGAGTTTGCGACCGGGGAGGGGCGCCGGTAGATCCGAGTGGTGGGGGGGCTTGGGCGTGGACTTTTTCACTTAAAAATAGAAAGCCTACTCTTTAATAACTTCCCCCAACAAATTAGAAATAGAATTTTTCTTTTTTGTTCCTTTTTTAATTATTCGACTTATTAGTCGTTTTTTCAATTGTAGATTTTTTCTGTTTTATGATTTTTGAATTTTTCGTTTTTCAGTTTTTGATTTGAAATTTTTCTAATTTTCGTTTTAAAAAGATAAAAAAATTTGAAGATTTTCACTTTTTCAATTTTACGATTTTTTGATGTTACCATTTTCCAACTATCGGATTTTAAAACTTTTTCATTTATGACTTTTCAATTTTTCGATTTTTAATTTTTCAGTTTTTCCATTCTTAATTTTTAATTTCTTCAAATTTTCGATTTATAATTTCTTTTTTTTGCAATTCCAATTTTTTCAATTTTTCGATTTATAAACTTTGAATTTTTTATTTCTTTAATTTTCAGTACGCAACTCTTCAAGTTTACATTTTTAAATTTGTCAGTTTTTGATTTTTTTAATTTTGGATGTTTCTATTTCTTAGTCCGATTTTGTTTCTTTTTTTTTTTAATTTTACGGTTATTTCATGTTCTGATTTTATAACTTTTCTTTTTTCTCGATATAAAATTTTCCAATTTTTTGGTTTTCAATTTTTCATTTGAAATTTTTCTAGTTTTCATTTTAGATATAATTTTTTAAAATTTTCGCTTTTTCAATTTTCCGATTTTTGAATGTTTCCATTTTCCAACCATTGAATTTTAAAACTTTTTCATTTATATGATTTTTCAATTTTTCGATTTTTAATTTTTCAGTTTTTCGATTCTTCATTTTTAATTTCTTCAAATTTTCGATTTATAAATTTTGAATTTTTTATTTCATTAATTTTACGTATGCAACTCTTCAAGTTTCCATTTTTAAATTTGTTAGTTTTTCATTTTTTTTTTTTTTATTTTGGACGTTTCTATTTCTTGGTCCGATTTTGTTTCTTTTTTTTTTTTAATTTTACGGTTATTTCATGTTCTGATTTTATAACTTTTCTTTTTTCTCGATATGAAATTTTCCAATTTTTTGGTTGTCAATTTTTCATTTGAAATTTTTCTAGTTTTCATTTTAAATATAATTTTTTAAAATTTTCTCTTTTTCAATTTTCCGATTTTTGAATGTTTCCATTTTCCAACTATTGGATTTTAAAACTTTTGCATTTATATGACTTTTCAATTTTTCGATTTTTAATTTTTCAGTTTTTCGATTCTTCATTTTTAATTTCTTCAAATTTTCGATTTATATAATTTCTTTTTTTGCAATTCCAATTTTTTCAAATTTTCGATTTATAAACATTGAATTTTTTATTTCTTTAATTTAACATACGCAACTCTTCAAGTTTACATTTTTAAATTTGTCAGTTTTTCATTTTTTTTTTTTTATTTTGGATGTTTCTATTTCTTGGTCCGATTTTGTTTCTTTGTTTTTTTTTTAAATTTACGGTTTTTTCATATTCCGATTTTATAACTTTTCTTTTTTCTCGATATGAAATTTTCCAATTTTTTGGTTTTCAATTTTTCATTTGAAATTTTTCTAGTTTTCATTTTAAATATAATTTTTAAAAATTTTCGGTTTTTTAATTTTCCGATTTTTGAATGTTTCCATTTTCCAACTATTGAATTTTAAAACTTTTTCATTTATATGACTTTTCAATTTTTCGATTTTTAATTTTTCAGTTTTTCGATTCTTCATTTTTAATTTCTTCAAATTTTCGATTTATAATTTCTTTTTTTTGCAATTCCAATTTTTTCAATTTTTCGATTTATAAACTTTGAATTTTTTATTTCTTTAATTTTACGTACGCAACTCCTCAAGTTTGCATTTTTAAATTTGTCAGTTTTTGATTTTTTTTAATTTTGGATGTTTCTATTTCTTGGTCCGATTTTGTTTCTTTATTTTTTTTTTAATTTTACGGTTATTTCATTTTCTGATTTTATAACTTTTCTTTTGAATTGAATTTTAAAACTTTTTCATGTATATGACTTTTCAATTTTTCGATTTTTAATTTTTCAGTTTTTCGATTCTTCATTTTTAATTTGTTCAAATTTTCGATTTATAATTTCTTTTTTTTTGCAATTCCAATTTATTTCAAATTTCTAAAATTTGTTTTTCATAGTTTTTCGATGTTTCAATTTTTGTTTTTTTCGATTTATAATTTCTTCTTTTTGCAATTCCAATTTTTTTCAAATTTCTAAAATTTGTTTTTCATAGTTTTTCAATGTTTCAATTTTTGGTTTTTTCAGTCCTTCGATATTCAATTTTTCGATTTTGCAATTTTCCGTTTTTTCAGTTTTTCGATTTTTCAATTTTTCCTAACTTCAACGTTTCAAATCAAAAAAATTGAAAAATTGCAAAATTGTCAAATTGAAGAATCGAAAATTAAAAAACGAAAAAGTATAAAATGAAAACTTGGAAATCAAGATCTTGAAAAATTGAAGAAATGAAAAACTGAAAGATCAAAAATTGGGAAACTTGAAAATCGTCAATCAACAAATTAAATATTGTAAAATCGAAATATTGAAAATTAAAGAAACCGGAAAATCTGATAAGTAATCTAAAAGTTGCAAAATTAGAAAATGAAAAAATAGAAAACTAGAATATTGAAAATTCGAAATTTCGAAAATTGAAAACGAGAAGAATCGAAAAATTCGCAAAATCTAATGTCGAAAAATAAAAAATTCTATGAATCAAAAATTTTAAAAATCAAATATTAAAAAAACCAAAATTCGAAAAATCGGAAAGTTAAAAAATTGAAAAAGAAAAAACCGAAGAATGGAAAAATTGAGACTTCGGAAAACCAGAAAATAAAAAAATAAAAGTCCAAAAACTAAAGAAAAAAATAAAGTCGAAAAATCAAAAATTTGAAAACTAGAAGAATTGAGAAATAGAAAAATCAAAAAAGAAACCAAAAATCCGAATAATAAAAAATCAAAATTCAATTATCAAATATTCGAAAAACACAAAATTTTGAAAATTGAAATTTGAAAAAAGAAATCAAAAATCCGAATAATAAAAAATCAAAATTCAATTATCAAATATTCGAAAAACACAAAAATTTGAAAATTGAAAAACCGAAAAATCAAAAATTCTAAAATCGATAATTCCAAATTTTCAAGAATTAAAATCTAGAAAAAACGAAATATCGAAACTCGAAAAAAGGAAAAAATCTGAAAATCCAAGAATGTAAAAATTGAAAACCGAAAAGTAAAAAATTTGAAAAACTGATGAATGTATAAATTGAAAATCCGGGAAATCGAAAAATATAAAAACGGAAAAATCAAAAATTCTAAAATCGATAATTCCAAGTTTCCAAGAATCGAAATGTAAAAAAAAACGAAATATCGAAAGTCGAAAATTGGAAAAAAAAAATCGTGAAATGAAAAACCGAAAATTAAAAAAACTGAAAAATCGAAGAATGTAAAAATTGAAAACCGAAGAGGAAAAAAAATGAAAAACTGAAAAATTGAAAAATTGGAGAAATCAAAAATCGAAAAAACGAAAACTAAAAAGATTGAAAAAAAATTCAAGCACCGACTTCAAATTTTCGAGTCAAAAATGAAAAAGTAAATAAGTATAAAAAGAAAACTTGGAAATCAAGAACTTGAAAATTTGAAGAAACGAAAAATTGAAAAATCAAAAATTGAGAAACTTAAAAATCGTGCAAAATCGAAAAACTAAATACTGTATAATCGAAATACTGAGAATTAAAGAAATCGGAAATTCTGATAAATGATCCAAAAATTACAAAATCAGAAAATCTAAAAATGAAAATGAAAAAATAGAAAATTCTCAATTTCGAAAATTGAAAATGAGAAAAATCGAAAATTCGAAAACTGAAAAAACGAAAATTCGAAAAATTGAAAAAGAAAAATGAAAAACTGAAAATTCGGGAAACCGGAAAATTAAAAAATTTGGAAGTCTAAAAACCGAAGAATGTAAAAAATGAAAAATGGAAAATTGAAAAATCGAAAAATGAAAAGGCGAAAAGTAAAAAATCTAAAAAATCCAAGAATCTAAAAATTGAAAACCGAAAAGTAAAAAATTTGAAAAACTGAAGAATGCAAAAATTGAAAATCCGGGAAACCCAAAAATAAATATTTAAAAGTCCAAAAACCGAAGAATGTAAAAACTGAAAAATTGAAAATTCGAGAAATGAAAAATCGAAAAGCAGAAAATTGAAAGAAAAATTGTAAAATTGAAAAATCAAAAATGGAAAAACGAAAAATCGAAAGATCAAAAATTGATAACCTTTAAAATCGTGCAAAACCGAAAACTAAATATTGAAAACTCGAAATATTGAAAATTAAGAAATCGGAAAATCTGATAAGTAATCCAAAAATTACAAAATTAGAAAATCTAAAAATGAAATTGAAAAAATAGAAAATTAGAAAATTCTAAATTTCGAAAATTGAAAATGAGAAAAATCGAAAATTCGAAAAATCTAATGTCGAAAAATAAAAAATTCCCCGAATCAAATATTTGAAGAATCAAAAACTAAAAAACGAGAATTCGAAAAACTGAAAAAGAAAAAAAACTGAAAAACTGAAAATTCGGGAAACCGGAAAATAAAAAAATTTGAAAGTCTAAAAACTGAAGAATGGAAAAGTCGAAAAATCAAAAATCGAAAATTCGAAAAGTAGAAAGAGTGAAAATTCGTGCATCGAAAATGGGAAACTCCAGAAATCAAAAAATCGAAAAATCAAAAATTTGAAAAACGGAAATGAAAAATTGAAAAATCGAAAAATGAAAAGGCGAAAAGTAAAAAATTTGAAAAACTGAAGAATGTAAAAATTGAAAATCGGGGAAACCCAAAAATAAAGATTTAAAAGTCCAAAAACCGAAGAATGTAAAAACTGAAAAATTGAAAATTCGAGAAATGAAAAATCGAAAAGCAGAAAATTGAAAGAAAAACTGTAAAATTGAAAAATCGAAAATGAAAAAACGAAAAATCGAAAGATCAAAAATTGGTAACCTTTAAAATCGTGCAAAACCGAAAACTAAATATTGTAAAATCGAAATATTGAAAATTAAAGAAATCGGAAAATCTGATAAACAATCCACAAATTACAAAATTAGAAAATCTAAAAATGAAAATGAAAAAACAGAAAATTAAAAAATTGTAAATTTCGAAAATTGAAAATGAGAAAAATCGAAAATTCGAAAAATCTAATGTCGAAAAATAAAAAATTCCCTGAATCAAATATTTGAAGAATCGAAAACTAAAAAACGAAAATTCGAAAAATTGAAAAAGAAAAAACTGAAAAACTAAAAATTCGGGAAACCGGAAAATTTAAAAACTTGAAAGTCTAAAAACTGAAGAATGTAAAAACGCAAAGTGGAAAAATCTAAAAATCAAAAATCGAAAATACGAAAAGAAGAAAGATTGAAAATTCGTGCATCGAAAATGGGAAACTCTAGAAATCAAAAAATCGAAAATTCGAAAAATCAAAAAATCTAAAAATTGAAAACTGAAAAGTAAAAAATTTGAAATACTGAAGAATGCAAAAATTGAAATTCCGGGAAACCCAAAAATAAATATTTAAAAGTCCAAAAACCGAAGAATGTAAAAACTGAAAAATTGAAAATTCGAGAAATGAAAAATCGAAAAGCAGAAAATTGAAAGAAAAATTGTAAAATTGAAAAATCGAAAATGAAAAAACGAAAAATCGAAAGATCAAAAATTGATAACCTTTAAAATCGTGCAAAACCTAAAACTAAATATTGTAAAATCGAAATATTGAAATTAAGAAAATCGGAAAATCTGATAATCCAAAAATTACAAAATTAGAAAATCTAAAAATGAAAATGAAAAAACAGAAAATTAGAAACTTCTAAATTTCGAAAATTGAAAATGAGAAAAATCGAAAATTCGAAAAATCTAATGTCGAAAAATAAAAAATTCCGTGTATCAAATATTTGAAGAATCGAAAACTAAAAAACGAAAATTCGAAAAATTGAAAAAGAAAAAACTGAAAAACTAAAAATTCGGGAAACCGGAAAATTTAAAAACTTGAAAGTCTAAAAACTGAAGAATGTAAAAACGCAAAATGGAAAAATCAAAAAATCAAAAATCGAAAATACGAAAAGTAGAAAGATTGAAAATTCGTGCATCGAAAATGGAAACTCCAGATATCAAAAAATCGAAAATTCGAAAAATCAAAAATTTGAAAAATGAAAAGGCGAAAAGGAAAAAACCTAAAAAATCGAAGAATCTAAAAACTGAAAAACTGAAAATTCGGGAAACCGGAAAATTAAAAAATTTGGAAGTCTAAAAACTGAAGAGTGTAAAAAATGAAAAATGCAAAAATTGAAAATACAGGAAACCCAAAAATAAAGATTTAAAAGCCCAAAAACCGAAGAATGTAAAAACTGAAAAATTGAAAATTCCAGAAATCAAAAATGAAAAAACGAAAAATCGAAAGATCAAAAATTGATAACCTTTAAAATCGTGCAAAACCGAAAACTAAATATTGTAAAATCGAAATATTGAAAATTAAAGAAATCGGAAAATCTGATGCGTAATCCGAAAATGACAAAATTAGAAAATTTAAAATTTGGAAAATCGAGGAATTGAAAAATCAAAGACTGAAAATTTGAAAAATTGAATAAACAAAAAATTATAAAATCGAAAGAAATTTTGAAAACATAAAAGAAATGAAAAAACGAAAAGTTGCGATATAAAGTCCAGAAAATGAAAATCAAAGGATCGGGAAAAACTGAAAAATCTAAAAATGGAAAAATTAAAAAATGAAAGAAAGCGAAAAAACGAAAAATTGTTATATCAACAAATGTAGTGAGTCGTTCTTGGTTTAATTAATAAATTAATGAATGAGAGAGGATTTATTAAGCAAAATTTTGCGATGACGTCATCAATTTTTTTGGGAGTAGTTTCAGAGATTGTGTAATAAAAATTGATACGACAGACATAACGGAAACGGGGGACTACTTTTTTCGTACTGTAGAAGTCATAATACGTCGAGAAAACACGAAAGTGGCAAGCTCACGCTCAGGAATTAATAAACAAATGTGACCCTTAGTGTGACTCGTTATTAGGTCACAGCTTGAACGTGTTCAGTATAGGTTAGGTTAAATTTTTAAAACCGCCGGTTAAAAAATTACCTGCTGTACCGAAGTTGTGGGGGCTCTCTGGGGGCTTCTTCTTCACGCTCTTCACCACCGGCGCCACCGGCTGCTTCTGCGCGTCGAGCAGCTTCGTCAAAATCGTAATGTTCATAATTTGTGCAGTTTTGTACAATTTATCAAAAATAGACAAGTGGAACTCTAGCATCCCCGTATACATGAAATTGACGATGGGGACAATGACGTCGGCCTGCAGGTCCGCCGGCATGACGATCACGTTCTCGTCCAACCCGCACGTCTGCTCCAGGTACTGGAAGTACTCGGTGCAGGCGTTCATGACCAGCCGATGCACCTTCAGCTGGACGTTGCCCTCGAACTGGAGCGTCATGTCGCAGTAGTCAGTCTTGCTGAAGAACATCTGCAGGCGTTGGAGGAAGAAGATCCCCCAGTTGTCGACTCGCACTTGCTTCGTGTTGTCGCCCATGTTGGCTTCTAACCTCATACTAGTCTAGTTCAGCTCGGGGGGGACAGACATGGGGGCGCCTCGTCGGGGCTGCAAAGCACGACTTAGCACTAGCTTCACGCTTAAAAAAGAAAAAGAAAAGGCCAACTGTGGGAAGGCGAACCTTGAGGGGGTTATGTGCGGTGAAGAGGGGCTGGTTTCGGCCGGTTTTCGCTCGGACGGGCTTGGCATTGTTGGTTTTTTAATGTTTTTAATTCAAATTTACTGACCTTTTCCTTATATTGAAAATATTAGCTCCATCTCTACAGACGCATAAACATATTGGAGATACGCTACTACTTCTTTGTATTCGTAGGTGGCGCGGTCGTTGCGAGGAAAACAGCGCCAAGTTTGAATTTCGGGCGAGGAAAATCGGCGGAATTAAAAGAATTTTTACAAGAAAGGAGACAAGGGGTTGGAGTGAGTGAGGGTCTGCTGGACAACGAAGAATTTTTAGTTGGGTGAGTGATGGACTGTTTTTCTTTGATTGTTGCACGCAAACTGTACCAACAATGATTCATGAATAGTCCGATCAATGATTGGTTACAGGTGATGATCGGAAGATGGCGCCGCTACGAAAATTTGTAACTTGACGGGTAGAGGATGGAGGGCAGGGCCGTACTGGGACCACTGTGGAAGTAAAAATTGACATTCTTTTGAAATTTTCACGAAAAGTTATCCAAACTGGCAATTTTGAACCCGATTCTCAGGGTCATAGTAATTATTAGATGTCAAAAATGTTTTCTATGTTCTCCCACATTTTGTTTATCTATTTCATGTGGCCTTTGTTACCATACATTGCCCTAAATTTTTGACTTCGTGACCTTCAATGTCTACGAAGTCTTCCACATTTTCATCTATTTTATGTTCTCTCAATTTTGTTACTTTATCATTTTTTATTTCAGTAGGCCTTTGCTACCCTAAGATGCCCTAAAAATTTTGTAATATAGCCCAAATTTTGGTTTCGTCACCTTAACTGTTTACAAAGTGTTCCAAATTTTCATTTTTTAACTGAAATGTCGCCTTTATGTTCTCCGGCATAACGGTCATAGCAATTATTAAATGTCCAACATGTTTTTTTATGTTCTTCTGCATTTTGTTTCTGGATTTTTACTTCTCGTGACCTTCGTTGTCGTACAGTGCTGTGGTGACCGAATTTAAATCAAAGTTTTCGCGCTGAAATTAATTGACAGCGGCGCGAAATCGCATTTGAATAATTTGAATTTGAAAAAAAAGGTTCAATCACGAAAAGGAACTCCTTAAACATAGGCAACCAAATATGCATGGATGGTCTAATGCACGTAGCGCTTAGGAGTTAGTTGCATGATCTTTGGGTTAGATGGCAGCACGTAGCGCTAGGGTAATTTCAGTTAGAGGGTTGGTAGAAAAGCGGCATGGCGGTAGAATGTGTCATTCTGGTGTGTTTCGTGTAAGTGTAACCACGTGGTAAGAACTAGGTTTAAATTAGTTGGTTTGGTAGTTAATAAAACGGGAGGAAGCCTTTGTTTAACGACGATCAAACGTATTTTTCATAATGATACAGTTGTCCCCAACCCGCGCGGTAAATTCTTGCGCCCTTTTAATCGAAAATTGCAGACTTCCGGTCGGACGCGAACACGTGTTGTGAATCTGTTTCTTTGTTTGTAAATTCACCAATCAAGCTAGTTTTTCTTAATACTCAGCTAGAGCAAACACAATTTAACAATCAGGATTATTTAAATTAACCATTTGCTAGAAGATTTCATGAAATTCACTTAGTCAGGAAAAACACCTTATGTTTAATTACGAATAGGTCTCTGGATGCATATACGTAAGTGTTACATTATAACACTTCTAAATTCTTCACACAAGATTGTTAATAGTTCATTTACGGCAGTTAAACAAGTTCATTATACTGCGGACTGGCGGGGGGTTATGATATTTTCTCCCCTTAGGTGGTTATCATCGTTATCACGATTAATTCATCGGGGCATGTTTCGCAACGCCAGATTGATTAATTAATTAAGGCATGCCCCCAACGCTACAGAAAATTTACGTTACCGAGACGCTTTTTCCTCGCAACGATTTTGGATTTTTACATCACCGAGACGCTTTTTCCCTCGGAGCGATGATTGGATATTTTTGTATTTGTTTATTATGTGTTTTGTTGGGGTAACCAGTTCGTAGTATTTTAAACTCTCAAAGTAAATTATTTCTGAAGTAACCAATCACTTAATGATATAATTTGGCATAATGTAAACTCTTTGTTTGAACTGTTGATAAAGTGTGGCAAATATTAATCTCCTGTAAATTATGTTAACTCTGCAATTTTTCACATCATACTATATTTCTTAATCTCACAATCTTAACCTCAGTAATTTTATTTGTTGTATAAATTTAATTGAACGTAAATTTCATGTTCTACAGTTCTAACCTCACATAACATTTCTATTTGTACAAGTTTATTTCACACCAGATCTTTCGTCTCATAAATCCTTGCTAACTTTTGTTTTGTAAATACTTTGTCGATGAATGTTTTCTATCATATAAATTATTTGATGTCCAACTTTAATCCCACATAAGAATTATTTGTTGTTTAAGATTTCACAAGATTGTATGGCGAATTTAAATGTTGTTTATTGCTCTTTGAAACTTTAACACTTGTTCAGTTGTTGTTAACATCAGAGTTATAAGGGATTGAATGTTTTAAAATGGAATTGAGGTTAAATGATACAGAAAACGTGGCAGAAGCGAGGTTTGGTTCCTAGTCGAGCTGGCGAGATTTATCGCGCCACCTGTACAAGTCCACAGGTTTGGATAGATTCAGGGGGCGGCCGCCGACGTTGTGAATTTCTCGATTTGGCCCAATAGTCGAGATCTTTGCGGGTTGGAAGACCGTAATGGCCTAGTTCCGCAGGGCAAAGTTCGTCATGGGATATGCGTGTGGGGTAGGCTTTGCGATAGATAGAATCACCGTCGCGGGGGGAGAACAGTTCCAGACCGGTAGCTCAGACTCCGCTTATGCTACAACGCTCCAGGGGTACTTTTGTTGTACTCCTGTTAACTGCCGTAACAAAAAAAAAAAAGGGAAAGAAGATCGGCCGCCACACGCCTGTAATAACTTGTGTACTTGCATCCAGTTACTTGATTCGGTTTTTGCTTTGTTTATTAAACTTATGATATTCAAATATTTGCATTGATTCCAAACAGATTTATAGAATTTTCCATTTGTTCGTTTTTCATATGTGTATGTCTGTAAATTCGCGAGTGTTTTTCTTCCAGTCAATTCGCGAGTGTTTTTCTTTCAGTCAATTCGCGAGTGTTTTTCTTTCACATATCTTAAGGGTTTTGAAATGTAATAAAATGTCGTCCGGGAATAAAACCAAGGGGGTTTTTGCGCTGAGGGGTAAATCTTCGCAGCGTATTTCCCCCTGTGAGGGTGGTGCCGTTTCCCCCCCTCCAAAACAATTTCTGTTAATTATTTCTTGCGCTCTCGACAGTGTATGCACTTGTATGAAAGAACTTCTTCCCGCCATTTTTCAAAACCACAAAAAAAAAAAACACACAACGTAGGTTCTCATTAGTTAGACGATCACAGCCAAGGCCAAACTTTGAATTTTTGAATTTTTCGCGGGCCTTTCAAACTGTTTCAAGGTCAAATTTTAAGGCGGGAAGTTTGGGTTATCACAGTGCCCTAAAAATTTTGTAATGCAGACCAAATTTCGATTTTGTGACCATAAATGTTGAGGAAAGTGTTCCAGGTTTTAATTCTTGAACGCAATTCCCTTCTCTATGTACTCTACAATAAGGGTCACACTAATTATTAATTGTCCACGATGTTTTTTTTTATGTTCACCTACATTTTGTTTCTTTGTCGTTTTTTATTTTTTCGTGGCCTTTGCTACCGTACAGAGCCCTAAAAATTTTGTTATACAACCCAAATTTTGATTTTGTGACCTTAACTGTCCAGGAAGTGTTCCAGATTATAATCCTTGGACGCAATTCCCTTCTCTATGTACTCTGCCATAAAGGTTACAGTAATTATTAATTGTCCAAAATGTGTTTTTCTGTTCTCCTACATTTTGTTTCTTATCGTTTTTTATTTTTTTCGTGGCCTTTGCTACCGTACAGAAAACTAAAAATTTTGTTATACAACCCAAATTTTGATTTCGTGACCTTAATTGTCCAGGAAGTGTTCCAAATTTTCAAATTTAAATACAATTGTCGCCTTTATGTACTCAGAGATAAGGGTCATGGTAATTATTAAATATCGAAATTATTTTTTATATTCTCCCACATTTTGTTTCTGGATTTTTACTTCTCGTGGCCTTTGTTATCGTACAGTGTCCTAAAAATTTTGTAATACAGGTCAAATTTTGATTTTGTGATACAGGTCAAATTTTGATTTTGTGACCTTAAATGTCGAGAAAAGTGTTCCAGATTTTAATCCTTGAACGCAATTCTCTTCTCTATGTACTCTACATAAAGGCTCACAGTAATTATTAATCGTCCACGATGTTTTTTTATGTTCTCCTACATTTTGTTTCTTTATCGTTTTTAATTTTTTCGTGGCCTTTGCTACCGTACAGAGCCCTAAAAATTTTGTTATACAACCCAAATTTTGATTTCGTCACCTTAACTGTCCAGGAAGTGTTCCAGATTATAATCCTTGGATGCAATTCCCTTCTCTATGTACTCTGCTATAAAGGTTACAGTAATCATTAATTGTCCAAAATGTGTTTTTATGTTCTCCTACATTTTGTTTCTTTATCGTTTTTTATTTTTTTCGTTGCCTTTGCTACCGTACAGAGAACTAAAAATTTTGTTATACAACCCAAATTTAGATTTCGTGACCTTAATTGTCCAGGAAGTGTTCCAAATTTTCAAATTTAAACACAATTGTCGCCTTTATGTACTCAGAGATAAGGGTTATAGTAATTATTAAATATCGAAATTATTTTTTTATGTTCTCCCACATTTTGTTTCTGGATTTTTACTTCTTGTGGCCTTTGTTATCGTACAGTGTCCTAAAAATTTTGTAATACAGGCCAAATTTTGATTTTGTGATACAGGCCAAATTTTGAGTTTGTGACCTTAAATGTCGAGGAAAGTGTTCCAGATTTTAATCCTTGAACGCAATTCTCTTCTCTATGTACTCTACATTAAGGGTTACAGTAATTATTAATCGTCCACGATGTTTTTTTATGTTCTCCTACATTTTGTTTCTTTATCGTTTTTAATTTTTTCGTGGCCTTTGCTACCATACAGAGCCCTAAAAATTTTGTTATACAACCCAAATTTTGATTTCGTGACCTTAACTGTCCAGGAAGTGTTCCAGATTATAA